TTGGGGGAGTGATTATTTAACTAAAACGTTATCTATATCTTTAGTAATCTATCTTAATTTAATAATGGTTTGATCAGGGAGTCACGTGGAACGTATGCTAAGGGATTCTTTAATTTTGTCTATAATATGTGAACTAACTAGTTCCTTTAAAGATTACTTATTATGAATTTACGGATTTAACTTAAAGGTAACTTTAATGATTATCCCTTCAAACTTTCGCATCAACACCTAGCGTGGATTTACCAGAAACTAACGAGATGTCGTGACATAACACCAGTAACTGTCTTCGATAGGTGCGCGACATCTAACGGTTCGCTATGTTCATTGGCTATAGATTAAACCTATGTCGTGACAAATTTCGGTAGTAAGTTTAGTTTGGTAGTAGAAAAGGGAACCAGTAAGAGGTGTTTAAGGGACCTAATGTAGATCCCGGAATGTTTAGGAAACATACCGTTAGCGGATAATGTTTTCGGATAAATTCATGAAGTTGGGTGATTTGGTTGTTAGTAGTTGATGGACGTGGGATGTTTTCATAAGTCATTACAAGAGATATGGTATTGACGACGATATAACGAAATGGTTGCTGTACGTGGGATACTCAAATTGTTAGACCAACTGGTATAATCTCCAACGGAGGTTCGGGGCGTTCGCACTACTCCTTTCATATACAATAGGACCTAGATATTAAACGTTTTACATCACTTCTTCCACAGTGATTATCTGGAAATCCTTCCTTCTATTCGATCAGAAGTTTCTTTTTCTGATTTAAAAGTTTAATATTGAGGAAAGTTTGCTTTTGAACATAATTTCATCTCGCTTTTAAGTACCACCGCTTGCCGTTATCGCTTATCGTAGTCATTTCCTATTTGGGACTTACCGCCATTTCTCCCTAACTTAATACCGGTGCTCATCATTTCTCGCTATTTACCGACAGCTTCGCCCCAACGCGAGTTTTCACATCTCATCAACCATTGCGCAACCTGATCTAAAACCCAATGAGTGAATCCTCTAAACTACTAAATTATGATTCACAATATAATTCAATCTATCCCACACCTTCCATCCAACCGTCCCAACAAGGATCCGTGGACCTGGAAGAGGATGAGAAGTTAGATACTTTTGATGGGGTATTTATACCTACATCCTTGAATATCATCTCCATCTTGATGTTCTTAAGATTCGGGTTTATCATAGGTCAACTTGGGATAATTGGATCTTTTGCATTGTTATTACTAAGTTATATCATTAATTCCTTAACGGTGATGTCCATTAGTGCCATAGCCACCAATGGTACGGTTAAAGGTGGAGGTACTTATTATATGATCTCGAGAACTTTAGGTCCTGAATTTGGTGGGTCTATTGGATTAATCTTCTTCATAGGTCAAATTTTAAATAGTTCTTTGAATGTTGTTGGGTTTGTGGAACCTTTGCTTGTGAATTTTGGTAAAAATGGTGATTTATTTAAAGTTTTACCTGTCAGTTATTACTGGCAAGTGTTATATTCCACCATATTATTGGCTATATGTACATGTATATCCATGGTGGGAGCTAATTTAGTATCTAAAACAGCTTTGTGGCTTTTCATTACATTAACCATTGCTATAGTGTCCATCCCAATATCTTCATTGGTACATAAGACATATTTTTTGGATGTACCTTATAATGTTGGGATTAGTTTATCGGTATTCAAGGAGAATTTATGGCCAAATTTTACTCAAGGAGCTGCAGGTTCAGTTCTTGAAGGCCCTGAAACTTTCAGAGATTTATTTGGAATTTTTTTCCCAGCAACGGCAGGGATCTTTGCTGGAGCTTCAATGTCAGGATCTTTGAAAAATCCTTCTAAATCCATTCCTTTAGGTACTATTAGAGGTTTGTTCTTAACTTTTGTGTTATATGCGGTAGTTATAATTTCTATCGGAGTATCAATACCTCGTCATCTCCTTTATAAGGATATTAAAGTCATTCAATCAGTCAATCTTCAAGGATATATCATTATTCTAGGAGAAATGTCTACAGCTCTTTTTTCCGTGATCATGGGGATTGTGGGTGCTGCTAATCTATTAGTAGCTATTGCTGATGACAGAATCATTCCAGGACTTTCATTTCTTTCTATGAATAAGAAAACTCCATCACAAAAGAAAATGGTAGGAGTTTATTCCATTCTCGTCACGTGGTTTTTGGCTCAAATTTTTCTTTTCGCCGATATTAATCAAATTGCTGTTTTTGTTACCATGGCATTCTTAATGACTTTCATCATCACTAATTTAGCTTGTTTCTTATTAAAAATTGGGTCAGCACCAAATTTCAGACCCAAGTTCAAATATTTCAATTCTCAAACTGCATTGGCCGGAGTTATCTCCGCTGTTATAGCTATGTTCATTGTTGATGGGATGTCTGCCAGTATGGTGATCATTGTATTGTTCAGTTTAATCATGGTCATCCATTATACCACCCCACCATCGAAATTTGGTGATATTTCCCAACTTTTAATTTACCATCAAGTGAGGAAATATCTCCTTCGTTTGAAAGTTAACGTCAACGTCAAGTACTGGAGACCTCAAATATTACTTCTTGTTGATAACCCTCGTACCAGTTGGAATTTGATAGGGTTCTGTAACCATTTGAAGAAAGGTGGTTTATACATTTTGGGCCATGTAGTGATTTTGAACGACGACACGACTCTGAAATCGGTTCATGAAACTGATAGTGAGTTTAGTATGCAGGCATATAAGGAAGTACAAAAGCAACGTAAAGCTTGGGTGAAGTTAAGAAACATGTCGAATGTTAAAGCTTTTGTTCAAATAGGTTTGGGTCCAACTTTACCTTGGGGTGTTAGAAATGTTTATCTTGGATCTGGTCTTGGAGGTATGAAACCCAATATTACAGTTATAGGATTCTATGATTTTGTCAAACATGGACTCAATTTACCATTATCATCGTTTAAGTCCAAGTCGTCTCAATTCCAGAAACTCCCTACTGATGATTGTAGACAAGAGCAACAGGTTTCGATAAGTCAATGGGTACAAGTGATTGAAGATTTGATTATCATGCAATCTTCAGTAGCAGTTGCTGGGAACTTCAATAGTTTAAACCTTCCAGCTTTTGATGAAGGGAAACATCATTGGTGGTCGCAACCTGAAACTTCAGGTCCTCAAAAATATATTGATCTTTATCCTATCCAAATGTCTAACTTCAACGTCATTGATGGGAAGTCGGTATTATCCACCAATTTTGATACTTACACGTTAATCTTACAATTAGGATCGATCTTATCAACTGTGCCTGAATGGAAAGCTACTCATAAATTGAGGATTATAGTATTTGTAGAACACGAATCAGAGATTGAAGATGAAAAGTCAAGGGTCAATAATCTTCTTTCAACTTTAAGAATTGATGCTGAAATCAAACCAGTTTGTCTTGATAGTGGACTTTTGAATGCTTATAATTATATCGTTAAAGGGTACAATAAGACATCAACTAACAAACTCGATTATGATAAGATTGATAAAGTGTTAAGAACTGAACAATGGTGGAAGAATCTTCAAAGTACCAGAGATACTTTGAAGGAGTTAGAGAAACTGAAATTACGTAAAAAGAACGTTTCCATCAACCCTGAATTGATGCCTTTAGGTTTGAATCGTTCCATGACTGTCAAAAGTAATGAAGAACGGACTAGAAGACGTAGGGATACAATCTCCAATTTACACGATAAAGGATTATCCTTGAGTTTCAATCTTAAAGGAGGGTTAATGCCTAAAGATATAGATTCCAGTCTGGACCTGGAAACTGAAGATGAAGTTCTTGATTCGAGTTTGGACTTAGATGCTTCACAAGAGAACCTTGTAATCCCTGAACCAAGACCTCAGCCATCAATTGCATCTATCAGAGATAAGAAACGACTCATGGTTGATTCAGATCAAATATCTGTGAAATCTTCAAGATCAAATTTGAAACCAAATTTCATGTCCGTCAAAACTCCACAAGCTCAATTAGTCCCTGATAATGATGATGAAGTTGTTAATGAGGATGATGATGACGATGATGATGCTAAACCTTCAATCACTTTCATTGATGATGAATATCTTTCGACTCCAAATGAAAAGGCTGAAGATGATTATTTCAGTTTACCAGTGGATAAGAAGAAGAAACTTAAGAACCAACGTAGTGCCTTAAGTTCCCCATCAATCATCACTAATGATGATGGGATCATCCATCAATTAAGAACACCTAAATTCTTAGCTGATGATGGCGAGGGAGAAGTTCCTTCATTAAACTCCAGTTCCATTAATTTACCTGCGTTAAGAAAATCATCTCAAGCTAATCAAAGATCGGGGGTTTATAAGAAACCATCTGTCCCACCGACAACTGAAGAAATCTCTCCTAAACAATTGGCTGAACAATTGAAAGATCTTTCATTTGATGAAATCCCAGCTAAAGGTCAACATCTCATACTTAACGAATTGATGAAATTACATTCACCTAAAGAAACTACCGATGTTATCTTATCAACCTTACCTGCCCCTTCATTAAATACTCATTTAGATAATGATGAATCGTTTGATTATGTAAACAATCTAGCTATTTGGTTAGATGATTTAGTACCTACGATTTTATTCAACTCACAAACGGTGACAGTGACCACCGAGTTATAGTACACCACCGAGTTATTACACCACCGAGTTATCACACCACCGAGTTATAATACACGATAATTATAGCAGTCTCTCTACCCAGGTCTTTACATTTTAACCTCGCCGCGCACTTATCAGGAACTCATCGTAGGTACTTTAGAGACTCATCACTATGAACGCTACTAACGAAGCAGAAAAACTCAAGAAACGTCAACAACAATTGGCAGCTTGGAAGTTAAAGAAACTTGATACTTCCGATGATAAGAAGAATGATCGATTAAAGAGACTTGAAGAATGGAAGAAGAAACGGTTGAAAGATGAACCCAAACCTAAGATATCATTAAAAGTTCCTATAAATGTCAAACGAAAGAAGGAGATCAATAGTTTTGTACTTGAAGATGAACCAGTGGTGAAAAAACCAACATTTGGTAAAGTTGTAGTGGAAGAATCTGATGATGAAATAGATCTTGATCAATTCATTGATAACTTACAATCCACTTCCAATACTAATGTCATAGAAGAATCCGATTCTGAAGTTGAGGAAGACGACAATGTTCAAGACGACATGGTGGATAGGATACGGAAACTTCAGGAACGAGAGAAATCCGTCGATGTGATAGATCATTCTACGATAGATTACATGGAATTTCGGAAAAACTTCTATAACCCCCCTTTTGAATTCTCCAAATATAGTAATGACGATATTAAAACTATACGGAAAGATATGGAAATACAAGTCCGGGGTGATGATGTACCTATACCTATTACCAAATGGTCTCAATTAGGACTTTCATCTTCAATTATGAAAGTATTGACTGATCTTGAATATACTCCTTCACCTATTCAAAGTCAAGCTTTACCTGCTATAATGTCTGGGAGAGATGTTTTGGGTGTAGCTAAGACAGGTTCAGGTAAAACATTAGCATTTGTTTTACCTTTGATACGACATGTTTTAGATCAGCCAGACATTTCCACCGGTGAGGGACCTATAGGATTGATTCTTACTCCTACGAGAGAATTGGCTATACAGATCAATAAGGAACTTCAAAGGTTCAGTAGTTTAACCAGTAGTTGTTGTTATGGAGGTTCAAATATTGAATCTCAGATTAATGATATTAAACGAGGAGTCCAAGTGATTGTGGGGACTCCAGGAAGAGTAATAGATTTATTGACGGTAAATAATGGAAGATTAATGAATCTTCGTCGTACAACTTACCTTGTCATAGATGAAGCCGATAGAATGTATGATATGGGGTTTGAACCTCAAGTGACAAAGATTTTATCCCAAATTCGACCTGATAAACAGATGGTTTTATTTTCTGCCACATTCCCCAAGAAACTTGAAATTTTAGCTAAACAAAGTTTACAAAATCCCATTGAAATCGTGGTTAGTGGGATTAGTAAAGTTGCGAAAGAGATTACTCAAAAAGTGGAATTATTTGAGGTCGAAGATATTGAAAGAAAGAAGTTTTTGAAATTGACAGAGATCTTGGATGAGTACAAAGATAGGAAAGTGTTGATATTCGTTGAAAAACAAGACAGTGCTGATCAATTGATGGTACAGTTGACACTGAGTGATTATAGTTGTATGTCGATTCATGGAGGTAAAGATCAAGTAGATAGGAAACATGCCATTAAGGAGTTCACTAACGACTTGAATATCCTTATAGCCACATCTATAGCTGCAAGAGGTTTAGATGTTAAAGGATTAGATTTGGTGGTAAATTTTGATGCTCCAAGTCATATTGAAGATTATATTCATAGAGTCGGTCGTACAGGTAGAGCAGGAAGAACAGGAACGGCCATAACATTCGTTTCCGTCAAACAAGAAAGGGCTATAACTGATTTAGTCAAAGCCATGCACGAGACTGATGAAATTAACCCCCAATTGATAGAAATTAGTGAGAAGTTCCTCCTTAAAGTTAAACAAGGGAAAGTTAAATATTCTTTTGGATTTGGAGGCCATGGATTAGAAAGACTTCAACAACAGAGAGATAGAGATGAAGAAATGAGATTGGAAAGAGAACCATCAAATAAAGAACCTCAAGATGTTGAAGATTCATTACCTGATTTTGAAATCATTGATGGTAAAGCTCCAGAAACTTCCGGTCCCGATATCTCCAAATATCATTCCAGAATCACCATCAATGACTTACCCAAACAAACTAGAATGTTTGTTACTAAAAATGACTTTTTATCACAAACTATCGAAGTTACAGGGGTTTCCATCACTCATAAAGGTCAATTCTATGGACCTAATCAAAAACCCGATAAAGATAAATTGTACTTATTGGTTGAAGGATTAAGTAAACAATCAGTCAATGATGCTAATGAAATGATCAAATTACGTATTTTAGAAGGACTTCAAAACGAAACTCAAATAGGTAAATATACTATCTAGATCACGTGAAAGGCATGTGAATTCGCACCTGACTTGCACGTGAGTTTCATATCATTTTCACACGACTCTCACGCGAATCTCATATGACGTTCACATGATACCTTTCCCCATATTTTTCCCTGTTCACTTCCACCGGATAATACCCATTTCACATTCACTATATAAACCTTGCCTAATCTCACCGAGCACAAAAAATTCACACCATGTTTGACGAATCTAAGTATCAAGACCCTGAGTTCTTGGTTAAAGAAATAGAGCAAGGATTCATCAATCTTCAATTCAATAACCCTAAAACCTTGAATGCTTTTAGTGAAAGAACTTGGAGAGCTTACCAAAACATCCTTGAAAGATTAGATGCCGACCCTGAAACCAACATTATACTTATTTCCTCATCTTATGCCAAATCATTCAGTAGTGGTCTCAATTTGAAAGATGCTCAAGTCCTTATGGGAGGGTTGAAAGGTGATGACCAATCTAAATATGATTTCATGTATAAACATATAATTGATTTCCAAACTGCCATCAGTACACCCACCAGAATGACCACACCAACTATTTGTTTGTTGAATGGTATTTCTTTGGGTTTGGCCATTGATATTGCTGCCACTACTTCCATCAGAGTAGCAGTTAAAGATGCCAAATTATCAATCAGAGAAATCAAAATCGGATTGGTTGCTGATATGGGATCATTACAGAGGTTACCTAAGATCGTTGGAAATAAATCTAGATTGTTTCAATATGCCTTGACCGGTGAATATTTCAATGGTGACGATGCTTATGATATAGGACTTGTCTCCAAGGTTGTACCAGATTATGAATCAGGAATGAAATATTGTATTGAGTTAGGTAAAGATATCAATAGTAATGCTGATTGGGTCATTAGAGGAACTAAGGATTCCTTACAATATATGGTGAATGGAGGTACAGTAGATCAAGGGTTATTGAATATTGCTCATTATCAATCTAGATTTTTAGGTGCTGAACCAAAGATTCCTTCCAGACCAAGATTATAATATAAGAGGTTTATGAACAAGTCAGTAGACTCAGTTCTCAACTCTTACAATGCTCTCACAATGCTCTGGTCCGGCCCTTGGTACCACAGCATACTCTTTTACCAAGTGCGTTCGCGGAGTGAAAAATTTTAAGTATGAAGATCTTATCCAGAATACCGTCATGTACATACTCCCAGAGCCATACTCCTAAGGCTAGAACGGTTAAGGATGTTCTTTCACAACTCCCATCACGAACTGTGTTGACAGAAAATTCCATCACTTCAATTCCATCATCTTTGAAACTAAAATACGATCTCATAAATGGTATTGATACCCAACCATTTACCGTACTCGAAACATTATTCAAGATAAGTAACCGACCTGATTGGAGACAACACCTTAAACCTCAAGAAATGACATACTTCCTTGGAAAGTTAATAACGTTTCAAATTTCCCAAATGGTTTATTATACCTATTCTCGAACATTTGAATCACCATCGATAAATAAGATCTATAATTCGGCCAGGTTCGTCAAATCAAGCATAAGGACGATTTATGGGAATATAATCAACCTCAAATCCATCTATGGCAACCAGAGCCGAATCAATCAAAAAGTACATGAATTGTCTATCAAAGACTATGAGAATTTAATAGTACTAGAATACGGGAATAATAAGTTGGACTTAGTAGATAAATGGTTACATAGGTTTGAGACGGTGTACGGCAAAGAGAAATTGACGTTGGAGATGTGGGACATCAAGCTTAAAATGAACGGGGGTGATCCAAGATATTGGAATGATTACAAGGATAAAAAATCAATGAAAAGAGACCATAAAGTTTCAAGGTCCTATTATAAGTTAAGATCATATCAAGAGATTATTAATGAGTACGTCCATAGTGGTGGTCAGATCCAAAAATTGTTACAACCATTGATTTATTGTTGTGGTTTTCATAATGATACTTCTAAGATCCTTAACATCGCCAACAACTATAAGATGGATTCCCAGATTAACAAGGCCATAATAATATCCCTTGCATACAACAATAAGTTCAAACAAATTCAACAAATCTTGAAACCTACCACTTCAGAATTTACCAGTTCTGATTGGTCTCAAGTGTTTAAGTATGTTGAAAGACATAGTAGAGTCAATACTTCGAGTCTCTTGGACTCCTATATACAGCAAAATCCCTTAATCAAAGATTATGAGGATTTAAAAACTAGACCTGAGTTTCAACATTATCAAGCTACTTATGCTACTCAAAAATATTACCGTGAATCAATGTTTAAGATCCTTTTGACTCAATACTTGTCCACTGGAGAGTATTCCCTTGGAGTTTACAGACATATCCGTAAGTTTTTAAAGTATAATGGGACATCATCTCAATACAATCAAGTGCTCACCAATATTTTAACTCACATCCAAAAGAGATCCAAATCTTTTGATAGAAAACAATTACATTCCAATGGTTTAAATGTCAACTTATATGATAACATATTGAACGACTGGATCAATCAAATTGAACATAAATCGATTCTTATTAAGAATTGGGCATTGGACAGTTCTCATGAAAGAAGGTTAATGGAGACATTCAAGGAAGAAGAAGAGAAGGATACCTTTTTAGATTTATTCTAGATATATGTAAATAGTGGCTATGGTGACATCAACTCTGAAGCATCAACTCTGAAACATCAATTCTGAATCAACTCTGAAACATTAACTCTGAAACATTAACTCTGAAACACCCACATCTTTGAAACATGAAAATGTCGCATGTCGCGACTCGACAATATCAATCTTGACACCGCGATAAAAATTATCGACGAAATGGCTGAAGGGTTTGAAAAATTAGTTGAAGTACCAACTGAATTCTTTAAAGATGGTACTGCTTTCATCAAAAGATGTCAAAAACCAAGTAAAAATGGTATGTAAATTGATCTTAACAAATTAGTTGGAGAGTTACTAACGTGTAGAATATTTAAAAATTATCAGAGCCGTTGGTATTGGTTTCATCATGATGGGTGTTGTTGGATACGTTGTTAAGTTATTACATATTCCAATCAGATACTTGATTGTCTAGTTAATATATGAATGTTATTAGATTGATTTGGTGGAGTTGGCTTGGGAAGGCGAATTTCAAGGTATGAGTATCAGGGTACGAGATTTTAGGAGACGAGATGTAGTGACAGGAGATCCGGAGGTACAGAATTGGGATTTGGTCCAAGAAGTATCTCAATGGAGTCGTTCGATGGGTATGTCGATGGGTTTGTTTAATGGATCGATCGATCAATCTGTCCAGCGAACGATTGACTATGGAAGTTCAAGAACTCGTTTTATAATCGAACAGAATATCGGCTCCTTTGAGTGATGTTTCGACTAACTAGCCCTGATAACCACAGTTACAAGATTTACTACCGGTGATCTACCCGTTGTGATCTATTACTCGTGATCCTCGTGATCTCTTACTGATGATCTATTACTGGTGATCTATCACTTGTGATCCATACTCCCACTCCCGTCATCAAACTCTATTCTCTACGGGACCACCTTCCTGTGTCACTCCACGCCCCCTGTCCCCACCAACTACTCTCACACATTCCCACACTGTCACACTCTCAACTCTCAACCCTCAACCTTCTCAACCCTAACACCTACCCTCGCAGAAAAATCCATCTCATCGCTATGTCAAAATTATCAAAGAACCTAGCTTCCACCCACGAACCAACAAGAGAGGAAGCCTTGATAGCGTTAGACCAATACATAACCACCAATCTTAATCGTCTTACTGAGATCGAGTTGGGTAAAGTATGGAAAGGTATTTGGTACGCTATGTGGTTAAGTGATGGAGGAGAGAATCAAAATAACTTAACTGAACAATTAGCTAAAATTTGTAATAAAAACGAATATAGTGTGAAGAATTGGATAAAAATCAACGAAACCTTTTGGATGATTGTCATCAGAGAATGGCAAACTCTTGATAAATGGAGAGTTGATAAGTATTATTTACTCCTTAGAAAAGTTTTAAGATTCAACTTCAGATATTTGAACTTTAAAAATTGGGATAGGAAAGTCATTGTGGAATTTAATAAGATGATTAAGAAACCTTTGAATTTGAAGAAAAACTTGGCAATTTCTTACCATTTATGTGATATATATTTGAGTGAGTTGGAAGAATATAGTGATAGCGCTCCTGAATTCATAATTGACATATTCAAGCAAGTAAAGAATGAAACCAACTCGAAGACATTGAAGGGAAAGATTGATGAAGAAGTTTTGAATGACGAAAGAGTGAAGGAATGGTGGGGTGAGGATGAGGAAGAAGATGATGATGAAGAGGAGGAAGATGAAGAAGAATGGACAGGATTTTAATGTATATAACCATGAGGTTAGCTCTAGAAAACTCTGTGAGAGGTTTGGGAAACTCTGTGAAACACTTGGGAAACTCCGTAGGCAGGTTGTAAGACCAGGACTTTCAAAAGTACTCACTGGTGTCTCTTAGTGCTCACTTTCTCACTCATGAACGCAGATATTCCAAAATTCATCTCCACCAATCCCTGGTACAAAAACGGAGAGACTGAGCTCAAGAAGGATCACAGTGATACTCAGTCGAAAGGATTCGAGAAGGGGTACGATAGTAAACGAGATCAGTATGATGGGTTTGAAGTTCAGTATAAAGAACAAGAGCGTGAAGTAGAGAAGGATGACGATGACACTGATTTCGAGATGGAGAGGCAGGAGTTGGGTATTAAGATTGATGTCAAGAAGCTTAAGAAGTTATTGAAGTAGGGTGGTTATGGAAATATGGAAAGAAGTCAAGAAATGATATTAAGTTGTGTTAGCACAAGTTGGTGGTGTGCAAGTTGGTGGTGTATAAGTTACGGCGAAGAACAAGTTGATGAACAATAAACGAACTACCAGTAAAGGGAACGACAATTCCGTAGTGTTCAACAAGACACAAACTGGTATTGGAGAATAAGGGACACTACAAGAAAACTGTTTGAAATGGGTGTACCTATAATCAAGTTCAAGGTAACGTGAATATCACGTGCTCACGCACATGATATGGCTGGCGACTTTTCCGTTGCTACGACATCAGCCACGTGTAAACCCTAATTAAAGTAATTTATCGTGTGAGGCTATAAAATCTCCCATCCTCCCAACCCCCATTACCATCCCTATTTCCACACAATCCCTAAGTTTGTCGTATAAATCCCTCATCTGTGTCAGCCACTTAATAAAGTTTAAACGTGAATTAAATTAAAAACGTTGTCACAATACAAATTACTTAAATCGCATCCCACGTTGAAACCCGTTATAAATAGATGTTGACAGAAGCAATGGACTGTGATATGGAAGAAATGAAGTTACCTCCGCCACCAGTTTTGAAAACAACTATTATTCAATTGAATAAAGATTTAGATCAAGATAATGGAAATTTTGAAATCTTGACTAACGATTATAATGAACCTAATGAAGAAAAGATTGATAAAGAAGTTAAAGAACCGGTGAAGAAAAGGAGAAGATCTAATAGTAATATCAATAAGGAAGAATTAGCTAAGAGGAAGTTTGAGACTAAACAGTTACATTCGATTATTGAAAAGAGGCGTAGAATCAAAATTAATAGAGAATTCGAAGCTTTAAAGTATTTGATACCTGCTTGTAGAGCTGAAGGTACTACATCAACGATAAATTCTCCTAATTTGACAGCCAAAAAGACTAATAATTCTAAAATCGATGGGATGTACAAATTAACTATCTTGAAATCTTCGGTGGAATATATCTTATACTTACATCATATAATAAGTAAGCAAACGGAAATGATTAAACAAGCTAATCCTCAATTTGATTTCGATCCGGAGTTTACTAATATCCCTTTAAATGTTAATGAATATAGAAATATCGATAAGGAATTTGATTTCAAACAATTGGTTAATGATTTTGATGATAAAGGTTTACGTCTTAATAATAGTAGCACAAGTCTTTCAGGAAGTCTACCTGATTTTAATTTTATGAATCTTGATGAAAAGGAGAAGGCGAGTTTAAGTGATGAAGAATTTCAATTACCTTCACCTATAATAACTCCGGATATGCAACCCAATAAGTATCAGTATAATTCTAAATTCCAATTACCCGATCCGGTAATGAATTTACCTAAGAAGAAATTATTCAAGAACTTACCTAAAGAGTTGATAATTAATGAGAATGAGGAAGAGAGTGCAACGAAGACGTTGTTAAGTTTGAGGAAGAGTCTGATTGATAATTTATTGAATTAATATGTCACGTTTGTCTCTGGTGTTTTCTCTGAGTGTGTTTCTGAGTGTGCTTCTTTGATTGTGTCTCTGAGTGTTGTCTATGGTGTTGTCTTCGACTGTGCTCCTCTGACTGTGCTCCTCTGACTGTGCTCCTCTGACTGTTGTCTCTGACTGGTGTCTCTGACTGTGCTTCTCCGAGTGTGCTGTCTCTGACTGTTGTCTCTGAGTGTGCTTCTCTGAGTCTGGATGATCATCGAGAGCCCTTGGGCCCTCGATGATGAGATTTCTTATTGATATGACTGGTGTCTGGGATAGTAGCTATCAAGGTGTTGTGAAAGGAGACATCTTTTGTTGAGTTGAAGGAGACGGAGACAAAGACCGAGACGTATACACAAGAAAGAACGACCAATAGTCCAACCTATCGGTTGAACTATTGATCTATTGCCAAATACTCCACATACTCATCTACCATACTTGGCCAACTACTCATCTCATCATATCCCCCTAATCCCTCTGCATCCTCCATTATCACCTCCTTAACAAACTCATACCACATAACATATGTATCCCTATTCAAATGCTTCCCCTGACTCTCTATAAATTCATACCATTGACTTATCCGGGCATTTACCTTATCAGGTAACTCAAGAAACTCAAACATCAACTTCCAGTAGTCAATGATTATCTCATAATTGATCAATTTTTGATTAGGTTGTTCAAGTAAGAACCCAAACACAAACTCATAAATCTCCTGAAACCTCTCTAAATCCTTATACTGGTCATGTAACTTATCTATAAATGTCTTCATATCGGTGATGTTATTGATCTTCTCTTTATTCCAGTTATTCAAGAATTTCTCCCTTTGGAATACTCCCATACTGGAACTATCAAGGAAATAACTTAAAATAAGACTTCGAATATCTTCGGGTTCGATACCCAAATCTTCTAAGTAATTCATAGTCCCATTAACTTCAATGGTACTCATATCCGATTCACAGTACTTCTCAAAGACTTTGATCAATTTGGGATCTTGTTTTCTATTTAAATAGTCATTGATGGCATCTTGTAAATGATTGTTATTGTCCTTTAAGTACTTGGTGGCCATGGACCGATTGGTGCCCGTTACTGCCATGAAATCATTGACGAGTGTGTTCATTATGTGGGAATGCGAGAAGTGCGACTTTAAGTTTGTGTATTTTATGATATCAACAGACATCATTAACAGTATCTTCCCTAGGGATACGTTAAATGATATTGAAACTGATTTGGAGAATGATTTGGCATTATTCTTGGAATGGATATCGTTTAAACCTCCGTTAATGGATCCATCTCCACGTATTAGAGTAGCTATTAAGAATGTAGTAAATATTAACAATTTTAATGGTTACTTACACAATTCCATTAATAATAACTTCCCTGATATCACCATAACAACCATAGATGAAACCATGATGAATATTAAACAAGTATATCAATTTTATTCCGATATCGGTAAGTTTTTAGGGTTAGATATATCACCTATAATCAATTATAAGTTCCAAATATTGCTTGAAAAACCTCAATTCCAACATCTTTTAATTACTTACTTTGATGATAATCTTCTTCAATTTGATGATTGTTTACTGCCAGTATCACCAAAATTTAATCCTCCTGCCGGCGATAAGGGACTTAAGGGAGATACCGGAGATACGTTTTTTTATCAATATTTACCTATTTTTAATCAATTAAATGTTGGTGATAATATAATGAAGATAGTGGTATCTGTTCTTATTAAGAAAATCAAAGAATATATTCTAAATAATTGTGTCAACTATGAATTATTCTTCATTGATAGTATAAATCAATGGATTAAAACGATGATTTATCCCAATTTCAAGATTCTTTTAAGATCCATAGATGCTAATTTCAATTACCTTTCAGAAATATTAACCATAAGTCATAATGAATTCATAAGTTTAAGAATAAATCAAATTTTCGATATGGTCAAAGCATACCCTCAATCTGAACCGGGATTGATCGAACTTAATAAATGTTTAAACTTTAAAAACGAAAGTCATAACCAGAGAGATCGCTTAGTATCGATATTCTTAGACAAGATCGATAGTGAGCTCTTGAATAGTGGGATAAATACCATAAACTTAATTAAGATGTATATCAAGATTATCAAGTCTTTCTTGATAATTGATGCCAAAGGAGTGTTGTTAGATAAAGTTATACGGCCATTGAGGGCATATCTTAAACATAGGGATGATATAATCCAGAAATTGGTCATTGGTCTTATAGATGATTCTTCATCCAATGAATTAATAGCATTAAATATCGAATTATCTAAGCTGGAGAAACGGAAATTGAAAATTGATGAATTTAGTGATTTGAACTGGGTCCCTGATCCTATAGATGCTTTGCCTGACTTCAAAAATTTCAAAATTAAAGATATAATAGAAAGTTTGATATCAATATTCGATTCTAAAGAGATATTCATCAACGAATTCACCAAGTTTTTCGGTAACAAGTTGATCAATAGATCGGACAATGATATCAGTAAGATCTTGAAGTTGATAAACTTACTTAAGTTGAGATTCGGTAAGAATGAGTTCTTCAATTTGGATATAATGATCCAAGATATCCTCAATTCTTCACCTCAATTAACAGTGTTATCGCATTTATATTGGTCAGATATCATTCCTGAATCAACAGGTTCGGTTCATGAAGAGTTGAACAAGGAGTTTGCTCATTTCAATAAGAATTTCCAGAAAAAGAGTTTCAATAGATATTTGAAGATGATCCCTGAACTTTCTAAAGTGACCTTGAAGGTTAATGGGAAGAATTATCAGGTCGACATGCACCATGCTTCAGTAATCATGATGTTCAAGGATAAAGAAGAGGTGGGTTTAGATGAAGTGGTGAGAGAATTGAATATGAATGAGTATAATGCTGGGAATGTATTGAAGTTTTGGGTCGAAGAGGGGGTTTTATTGAAGTTAGGAGGTGTTTATGTGACCAATGATTGATTTTTTGGGTTAGGTATGGAGTATTTTATATTTGTTTCAGGTTTGTTTCATGTTTGTTTCAGGTTTGTTTCATGTTTGTACGCTTGTTTCACATTTGTTCCACATTTGTTCCATGTTTCACATTTGTTTCAGAGTCCTGAGCTTTTAGAGTCCGGGCTTTCAGAGTCCGGGCTTTCAGAGTCCGGGCTTTCAGAGTCCCAAGCTCATTAAATAAGAGCTCACACCAGAGCTTATACATTAACCATTTATATCATTGACAGACTTTGCAATTTCAACCCCTTGGACTTTTTGCAGGTATGAATTCGAAGGTACTAACCTTTTAACGTTCTTGATTTCATCCACAGAATATCCAGGAATTCTGATATTCCAATTCTTTTCCAAGTGTAATTGAATATCTTTAACATCAATAGAGTCAACTTTCCTGTGTTTAGCTAATCTACATGCAAAACCTGTAACTGAGGTGATGAATTCATCGGCCAAATCAAGTAATAATTCCTCTACGTCTCCATCAACAACGGTTTTACCATCACCTTCATCAGCACCAATGGTATTTATAAGTTCACTTAATTTCCTCTTCGATAAGACTCTATTACCTTCAGGCATTGAAGCATTATTGGCAATCTCATAATTGGGCAATTTTACTGATGGTTGATTTAAAACTTGTCCCATGGAAGTAGAATAACCTCCCGTAAGAGTTGGTCTAACACCTCCATTAGGTTTTAAAGTGATTGGATTTGGTGGTTTAACGTTTATACTCGAAGATATTGGTAATGACGGAACGCTCGTTTTTGTGATTCCACTAAGGTTAACTCTATCAGGAGAAGGAGATTTTGGTTTAGTTTCTAATGAAGCATTGGTAGCTGCAAGACCAGCAGCTCCTGGGGCTGGGGTTGAAGCAGAAGTGGCGGTTGAAACAGGACCAGCATTGACAGTAGCTCCACTCATTGTAGGTCCTCCAGTTGTTGGCACAGGTGCAGTGTTTGTGTTAGTTACCGCACTCGAATTTCCTGCTACAGGTACATTGGACATTGATTGAGATGATGTCATGTTATTCGTCGTTGGTTGTGATTGTTGACCTTGTTGTTTTAATAATTCCCCCTTCATATAATAAGCAAATTTCTGGTAACGGGAATATTTACCTCTGAGTTCAGTAATTTGAGTGTCTAAGGCCGTTGATTGTTCTGGGTTCAAGTAACCTTTCTTTTGAGCAAGTAATTGTTGGATTTTTCTTTCGAAATCTTGAAGTTTGGTTTTCACTTGATTGAAATTCTCCACTGTGATGGCACTGGCAGGTAATGAAGGAGTTCCTGAACCTGCTGAACCTCCTGAATTAGTTGGTGCCATTGGTTGACTTTGAGTGGTTCCTACAGGTGATCCTTGTCTCATAGGTGTGAACGAACGGGGTGCGGGGGATCCTGCCATCATAGGTGTTCCTACGTTAGGACTAGGTGATTGGCCCATTCCCATATTCATATTACTTTCCTGTTGTTGTTTAGCTTTCTGTTGAGCTTGATAACTCAATAAAATTTTTTTGATGGAATCAGCTTTGGCATAATGTTGCTGAGACTCCTCAGTTCCAGCACCTGCAGCCTTAGCTAGTTCTATCTCATGTTTCAACGCTTGAACTAATTGATTAGCCTGTCTAGGTTCGATATTCACTGGTCTCCCACTCATGTTGATGAAAGAATTTATCGCGAACTTTCTCACTATACAGATGTATGGGTGTACGGGTGTGGTGAAAGATGTTCTATAAATTGTCGCGATGTCGCAATGTCCTATAAACTATAACATTTCTCTATGCTGGTGGCATCGTTACCCCACCAATGGGGCATGGTAAAGGTGAATAAAACAGAACTTACAAGGAAGATCAATAATACTGATAAGTTGTAACCGGTGTCGAAAGCTGCTGCGAGAATGTAATTGTAGTTCTTCCAGTGATGATGATGGTATCTGAAGATATAGAACATGGTTATGGTACCACCGATGAATTTGGAAAGTCCTCCGGTACTAAGGTTCCCATGGAACTTGGCCATACTGGAGAAGAAAACCGTGGTATTCCAATAGTCAAAACCTACTTTTTTGTAACGTCTATGAAGGTAATAAAGACTGATGGGAGCTATAAGACCCACCACAAACCCAAGAGGTAACAAAGGATAATTATGGAACAATCTAGAAGGTCCTAGAACGACGTATTGAATAGCATTGGTGTGAATGCTTTCGATTTCCTGACCTGTCCATTGATTCAAAGGATCTTTCAATTTCCCTTTTAGGTAATCGCCCTTGGTTCCCAAAACCCATGACAATGCAAGGTAATTGATGGGTACTCCAATAAGCTCACCATAGATCTGAGCAAGGAACACTTCTTTAGGAGGGAGATGGATATAGAATCCGAGTTTCATACACTCCAAATGATACTGAGCTCTATACCAAGCATCTCCCGCTACTGACCCAAATACTGACCCTGAAGCAGGATGTACTGATTGGGATTGAACGAGGTAGCCAAAGAATAATTCGTTGAATGTTCCAATGGGGAGCTGGAAGTTGGACAATGCGTATAACCAAGCTAATGGGGTGACAATGATGGAACCAAGGATAAGAGCAATGATACAACACCACCATGGCATGAACATTTGTCCTGACCAGAAGATTATCATTAACATACCGAATGATAAGCCGAACAAGGTATAGTACCAAGACATGGGGATGGGGTCATAGTTCTTAGCCAATTTATTCAATCTATCGCCATAAGTTTTATCTTTAGAACGAGAGATTTTCCATGATTGTACTAATCTCTCGTACCCGAACATCACCACCCAAACCACACCAGAAACGTATGCCGCATAATCAAAGAAAACGTTCCATAATCTCTGAGCTCCTAAATTCGCCGGACCATAATGCTCATACGCCGTTTGGTTGAACTGTAGGTCGGGTGTAAGTAATTCGTTAGTAGGATATTTGGCCCCAGTTTCGGTAAATATGGAATTAGACATTAAGCCGAAATCATTAAACCCTCCAAATTTTACTATGGGGATGAGAATCCAACAACCAATGACAAATGCTACAAATTGAATCACTTGGATCCAGTAGGGGAACAACATGATGGAGCTGGTGATGTTGGCCCAATCTAAAGTGAAGTTCATGAATCCCATCCCTCCCATTCCACTGCCTATGAAATTCCATGTGGGACTATAGGGAGCTATCCAACATATGACGGCGAGGGATGAGGTTAGGGGGAAGATGAACTCGGGGAAGAATTGCCAGATGGTGACTGCAATGAGAACGTAGAAAAACACTCTCATTTGGGTATCGGGTTTGCTGACAGATGTGCCAGGTTCTTCTCCCTTGGATGTGGTGGGGTCGGGCCCAGTTGAACTGGTATCACTAGGCTCAATATCACTCTCATCTCTATTCTTTATAGCACCAAAATCCCTTCTAGAGTCCACAACCTCCCCACTATCACCCTCACCCTCATCACTAATCCCGTCCGCCTTCTCCTGGCTTCGAAGCAAGGTCGTTTGCATCAATGCCTGGGGCCAAATAAACTGAGGATCGTAAAGTAATAAATCTTTAGCAATAGCGGCATAAGCATATCCAACAAAAACAATGGCTAACATGAAACATATGGCTGTCAACGGATGTACCACTTCACCAAAATGAAGCTGGGCCAAAGATATCCCGTTGGTAGCCAAGTTCCCTGTGGCACCGGAGTTTGCGGTGATAGTGATCAAAGCTGTTTCTTTGATAGACCAAGGACCAGGGTTTAAATTGAACAGAAACTTTCCTATCCTTACATCTTTGTTGGGGAGGGTTCTAGCCATCCATTTCCCACACCAATGACTGGCAATTTGGACAAAAAAAATCGAGTAAGCTGCCGAAGTTGTACGGAAAGAATTCATTGTGTCAATGAAAGCCCCTGGAACCACGAAAAGCGTTGATAGCACAAAATATCTGAAGGTGATGGTCAAAGTACGTGGATTATCCACCAACGGTACAATTTCCTTAACCACCGTAGGGAGGTCCTTCAAATCGTCCTCAATCAATGGTGTGGATTCCATGAGCTTATCGCGCGATACTGTGGAGTCTTCTTTGGGACACTTTCGCGGAGTTTTTAGCGAAGTTTTTGGCGGAACTTCAGGTCGCCGGATATAACTCGGAGATAAGTCGAAGGTGGGATTTAAGGGGAGAAAAGGTATTTCCAGGAGAGACGATTAATTTATATGAGATAAACTAAAAAAGTTTCTCTACCATGCTGAGGATATCTACAGTTTGACCGTTTAATGCGGCTTCAATGGCTCGTTCAACGAGGAATCTAGCTACTTTGGCTACCACCGCATTCTTACACCAAGCACGAATAGACCATCCGTCTATGACAATTCCTGGACTGTTCAAGGTTGAAATGTCAAACATCATATCATTCCCGAACACTATGACGGCAGCACATGAGGTTGGTGTTAATTCGTTGATGAAAAGTTTACTGGTCATGTGAGATGACCCGTACACCATGAATGGAGGTTTAGAAGCCAATTTTTCCACCACAGGAGTCAAATCTGGGACCGTATCAGGATCCGTATCTATGTCGTTATAAACTTTACCTGAGAACATGGTGGATCCAGGATGAACGAAAACTCGAGAAATCTCGTTGGTTGTATGATTACGAATAAAGTATTTCGTTAATTTGGCATCGGCATCTACTTCTAAAGACCCTGAAGTGGTGGAAACGTACTTGGTATCGGGGTAACTGACCTTAGCGAGTCTAGGGTAATAAGCCGCGGTGATGATGGCCTTTAAAATCCCCATATTGTCACTATTTCTATCATTAATCTTGAAATTTAGGTCATTCAAGATCGTTCTATATTGAGAGATGGTACTCATGATATCCTTAACGGCATTAAATGAAAGATAGTTGTCCTTAATGAACTTACTTTTGGCTCCAGCATTCTTGAAAGCTTTAAATAAGTTAACATACCCAATAAGATCTCCATTACCTTTACTGTACAGTGCAAGGAGTCCCTTGATGGTATTCCTTAAATCCATGTCTGACGTTCTCATGAATGGAGAACCTAAGGTGGTAACGGCAGCGATGATAATACAATTTTCCACACATCCAAAAATCGACCCATAAATGATCAATTTTCCCTGTACCAAATCGGTAGGGATCAAACTCATGGACTTCCCAAGACTGGTTAAACGGTCATGTTTCAAACATCCCATCATATTTAAGTTGGTGTACGAAACTTTCAAGTTGGCAATACTAGGAGAATCAATCCCTGACATCAAAAAAGTCTCCACATCGTCTATACCTATGGATTTGACCATGAGATAAAGATTATCAAGATTGATACGAGTGATCTCTGGGACCACAGATTGTTTGAACAGTTCGTAGGTATCTTTGGTATAAAGTTTGAAACATTTCCCTTGTTTGACTCTCCCAGCTCTACCACGTCTTTGAAGAGCTTCAGATTTGGAACACCAATTTTCCACTAATTTGGTGGAGGCGGTGGATGCCACATAATCCATGACTTTTACACGACCACTATCGATGACCACGGTACAATCAGGGATAGTAATAGAGGTCTCGGCGATGTTGGTGGATACTACCACCTTATTACCTGGTTTGAACACCAGTTTTTGGTCTTGAGGGGCAACTCCAGAATGAAGGGGGAGAATTCTTCTTGGAATGTGTTGGAGTTTCTTAACTAGCTGATTGATCTCATAGACCCCTGGGAGGAATACTAAGATGGATTCTTCGTTCTGTTGATGAAGATATTCCACCAATGATACGATCAAATCATAATTGATCTGACCTGTTTTGAAGAACTGGGCATCGGTACGAGGATTGATCATAGCTCCATTGATTATCATCTTGAAATCAGTCTTTTCAATGACATCATCAAGATAGTAATCATCAATAGGGAAAGTTCTTCCTTCAATATGAATATGACCAACTTTATCATGGAAGAAAGAATCGAAAATGGACTTATCAATGGTAGCACTCATTAAAACAATCTTAAGCTTAGGAAGTTTGGATTGAAGTCTTTTGAGTAACATCAATAAGAAATCTGAATCCACTGACCGTTCATGGACTTCATCCACTATGATATATTTAACATTCTTCAAGCTATCAGTATCATTCAACATCCTTATAAGCACCCCCGTAGTGACGAAGGTAATACGAGTGGTATTGCTTACAACACTATCACCTCTGATGATATAACCAACTTCTTGTCCTACCTTCCCACACCGTTCTTCACTGACTCTATCACTTAACCCTAGAACGGAAATACGACGAGGTTGGGTGACAAATATAGTGGATTTGAAATCCCCTTGTTCATTGAGTGAATCTATGATGAACTGGACTACTTGGGTGGACTTACCACTTCCAGTTTCCCCTGTAACTAACACGATCTTATTGTTGGTGACTAGTTGTTGGATTTTTTCCATCTTCCCCCAAGCTGGTAAATTCGAACGTTGGGATATCATGGTTTCGTGGTTCTTATGAGTAACTCTATCGGTATGAGCTTTCTTAACAGCGGTTTCATCGATGTGAACTCTTCTGGAACGTTTAGAAATAGTGGTTTGTTGGCTCACGGTCAAATTCTTCGAAGGCTCAATATATAATGGGCCGGGATTATTGACACATTTCTTCCAATTCTCATCAAGCCAGTCTATTATGGCATATACCATTGGTGTACCTAAGTATTGGTTATCAACAATGTATGTAAGAACATCGGTGATTATCTTCCGTTTGGTATAATTAGGTATTGGTGATTGAAGTTCCAATCCGGGTAACTCATTAGGATACTGTGAAGGTTTATATAACTTCAAAGTGTACTTCTTTTGTGCTATGGTGGTACCGGTAACGTTGTGACCTGTAGTTTTCAACGACTCGAGTTCCTCGTCCCAAGTGTCGAAATCTGGATCCCATTCCATAAGTTCAATATCTTGAGTTTTGTGTTGAACTAACGATTGGGTAAGTTTCACTACCACCATATCATCCTTAACGTCGGCCATGACTCGTTTAACTTCAGAATTACTGAACCCAGCTACCGTACGTGTGGTAGTAACTCTCATGGGAGAATTATAACTAGTCATTTTGAATGATTCCGGTAATTCGTCAGTGGGCAAGTAAAATATCAACCATTCCAAAGAATCTGTTAAGTCCCCAGTATACTTCAAACACTCATTGATATGAATATCTTTGAATCCAAGGTTTTTCAAGATCAGTACATAATCAGTCGATGCAGAAGATTCTAATTCTGATGGCCATGGATAATTCTTTAACTCCTCTTCTAATTGTTCTCTTAAGTCCGGATGGATGTCAAAGATAGGTGAATTATCCCAAGCTTTCTTGGAGAATCTTATAGGTTCAGGAGGGGAGATTTTCTCCGATTCTTTGGGCTTGATCTTGGGTTTAACAGCTTCTTGGAATTGTTTCACGTGACTTGTATCTCTTTTATCAACATCTTTCTTCTCTCTTTGCTTAGCTTTCTCTTCTTGGGCTTTCTTATTATCCAAATAGCTCTGGAATGGATTCTCACTATAAATCAAATCGTGTAATCCTGGAGCTATGGTCTTCCGTTCGGCTTCAAGTTCATCCCAGTAACTTCTGAATATCACTGGTAGTACCATTTTCATATTCTTCTTGAAATTTATACGGTAAAGACAATAAGTAGCGGTGGTATGTCTTGATTCATTTGATGTAGGTTTGGAGATTTTGGGATTATACCTGATTTTAATCAATTCTTTGGTTTTTGGGTTCTCCCATTGTAAAGTTATGATGGTAAGGACGCCATCTTTACTTTGACGGGTTTCAAAAGTTGGTTTTAACCATTTTTGACGTTGACAGTGTTCATATAATAAAGTCATAGGTAACTTCCCAGTCCAACCAAAATTCTCCCCAATGGCAATTCCTCGGGTAGGTTTATCATCTTTGGATTGTTTAGGAGGTTCTGAAGGTTTACCTTTCGTTTTTACCTTTTCTTTAGGCGGAGGATCGTTAGATTTATCAGGTTTCTTCTTAGCCATTGATGAAACTGAGATGAGATTTTCATCGCGGTACACATGGTACTAGCGATGGACCTACACTGGTACCATCGTTAATACCATCATCTGGTGCGAGAATTCAAATTTCAATAAAAGTAGCCAATTTCAGGTGTACCGCACTACTTTCGTCACAAGACCAATTACTCGTGAGATTCACATGATCCTAACCAATTACGAAGGTTTACGACAAAATTTACGAAAATGTCGGTTTCGGTCCTCCGAACCTATCATGACACCACAAACCACCACAATCTCCCACCACCACACAAATTTTCTCTCCATCACGTAATTAAAAAAAAATAATTCCCAAGGAACTTCCGTTAAAATGTCGATCCTCACGTGACCGGCTGTCATGCCTAATTGGGACGTTTATACCGATGTTGTAGATCCTTGACAGGTTTTTCACTTTCACTAAAATACTGACCAACCCAGGGAATAATTTCACTATCAATAACCTTAATCTTAACTTCAACTACAGTTGTATGCCTAATCAACCTTGTAACATAAACCCGTTATCATTGTTATCTTCTGATCCTTATCATTTTTGATGCCGTAGCAAAATTCCTGTATAGTCATAAAAAGGTTTTTTTATAAAAAGAGTGGAAAACCCAATGAGGTTTTTTTCAAATCATAACTAAAAAAAAACTTTCATAATTCAAAACTTTTAAAGTTGTAATCAAACATTATGATTGGTATAAATTCAAACGAAGGATTTATAAATAAAAACTTGTTAACAAGTTCAAATAATTTTTCAATATTTAATTATGTTTTCAAGATAAATGTTCTTTTCCCACCAATTATCAAACAAAATCTTCAAAAATTATCAAATACTTTAGGTTTTATGCCTATAAATTGTGCAGTTGATGATTTAGAATTGTATAATGATGATATTTATGATTTGCTCAATAATCCTACATTTTATGAACCATCTCAACAACAACCACAACCTTTACAAATCCAACCTTTACAACAAGGATATCTGGGGTATAATAATAAAGTGGAATATAGAGATTATAATAATGTTAATGAATTAAAATATCCAAGTCATTATAATCTTAATATGAATGGATGTACTAATTACTATTTCAATGACTTTAATCATGATCTTATTGATTTGGATATTTACTCCTCATCAAGTGAAAGTTTTATCTCTCCTTTAGATGATGAATTTTATAAAGTTAAAAGAGAAAGTGAAGGAAGTACTATTACTTTTGATAGTCCAGAAACTTTTGTTAAAGTTGAAAATGAAGGTTTACCAGTATTTAAGGAAACTTTTAAACCTGAAAGTTTCAAAACTGAAAGTTTTAAAACTGAAACCTTACCAAGTTTTAAATCGGAAAATTTACCAAGTTTTAAATCCGAAACCTTAAATGACGACTTCCAAAAAGATAGTAAAAAAAGAAAGTTATCTGAAGATAAAAGGGATGACGATTTCAAATTTGAATGTAATCATTGTACTGCCAAATTCAAAGTTAAAGGATATTTAACCCGTCATTTAAAGAAACATCAAAGTTTTAAAGCTTTCAAATGTCCTTTCTATCATGAAAGTCCTTCAAATGGTAAAGGCACTAAATGTCATCCAACAGGAGGATTCTCTAGAAGAGATACTTATAAAACTCATTTAAAAGCTTTGCATTTTATTTATCCTCCAGGAACTAAAAGTAATGAAAGAAACTTAATAAGTGGAAGATGTGCCGGATGTTTCCGTCATTTCGAAAATAACATTGATTGGTTAAAGAATCATATTGAAAAAGGTGATTGTAATGGGACCTTAAATGTTTAGATAACAGTTTAATGCTTAATGACGGGGGATGGCTGGTACATCTTTAATGACTTATGATCTTGTAATATACATATACTTTACTCTTAAAGGCTTAAACTATTTTTAGATGTTTCAGTGATAATTTCTGCTCCTACACTAAAACTTTAACCCTCGCTATGGATTTCCATTTTTGGATTTCGCTCCGATTTACCTTCCGCTATGAGATAATAAGATTTTGAGATAACTGAAAATGTAACATCGTTATCAAAGGGTTCTTTTGACTTAAGCCTCTTTTGTAACCACCTATTAAATTTTAGTAGCTTATCTTTTATTGCCCCGGACTTATGTGTGTAGTCAAGGGAGATTGTGGTTTGATTCATCTTAAAGTTGCCTTAGAATTGACTTATCTCTGAGTTGACTTGTCTTCAGGTGACCGTCGTTTGCCGTGACCTGATGTTAAGGTTAAATGAAATGAAACTGAATGGCAGATCTCGGTGATTGATGTCAAAAACGCCAGTGATCTTCGAAAAGTTTAAGTAAGAAGTCTTGTGAAACTGATTAGTGAAACTGATTCGTGATTTTTACAATATTTGATGAGAGACGGTCATTTGTGGGGGACGTATGGCCTAGACATTGGAATCATTGTCGATGGTATGAAAGCCATTTTGAAACAATTCTCATCCTCAACTCTTCTTTTATCTCCCTGAACTTATGCCACATTCCCCTTGAAACCTTAGTGGGATTTATCGTAAACCGTACCTTTTTGAGAACACTTTTTAGGTTTTGAAACGCAATGCCACAGTAAATCTTTATGGGCCTCGGAACACCCATGAGACAAGAACATCCAAGAGACATTAGCAAACACGCAAACCTTACTTTTGCCATGGTTTCTTACTATTAGAGTGGTTAGTAGATAATGAATTGGGCAACGCACGACTTTTATTCTAACTCTATCAATATTGATTCAGATAAGCTGAAAATTGACAAATCACCTAATACCATCCTTCCAATGTCAACCAACTCATTAGACCGTTCAATCTCTCTCTACTTGACATACTGGCCCCACACGGTCCTTTGCTGGTGATAATTTTTCATCCCACGCGAAATTTTTCGTCGACAACTCATTTCACAAAATGGCTTCATTAGATAAATCTTTAGACGATATCATCTCATCAACCAGAGGTAAAAGATTCTCCGGTAAAAAGAAGATTGTTGGTAAAAAACAAGTCAACAAGACAACTTTAAAACCAAAAACTTTCCAAAAATTGGCCAACAAAGCTACTGCTAGAGCCAGCACTTTATTGGATTCAAGTTATGCTACTAAAGTTGTTGTTTATGGATTACCAAAGGATTTAAAACAAGATTCAATCAAAGTATGTATTTACCTGGAACAAAGTAGAGTCATAGACAGTGCTTTTTAGGGGAAGGGTAAGATAGGGGGTTAGTTAGTTTATGTTAGTATTACAAAAACCACAGTTTTGGTGATAGTGTAAGAAAACAGGGGCGAAAATTTGAAGTGTTAGGGCGTTGATCGCTTGGACGACTTTATTTGAGCTTCCGACATGGGACATAGGGATAAGGGATTACTAGATGTTCTGGCAATATCCTTCAAGTGCTTGGGTGCTTGTATATCCTAGGAGTGCTTGTAATTTTTGAGGGCGGTTGCCCTGAGAATGCTTGCGTAGCCGTTAAAGTCCCTGAAGAGAAATCTTCATGAGTCAGTTACTAGGAGGTGGACCTTCACCATTTGATCTAGATCAACCTAGTCAGAACTCAGAGTCAATGCTCAGAGTTAAGGTCTTGAAAGAGATTTTTAATCAGAGTTTCTCAGAGAACGAGCTTTTAGAACGAGTCATTAGCTTATAGAGCTTTCCTCGTACTAAGTTCTTAATTCTTCGAGTAGACTCCATCTTCTAGTCAATCTTATAAGTACAAGTGCAAGGCATGTTGCAGCACGAGGTACAAAGTTGCAACCGAATATCGTATGATTAAGTTCAATATGATAGAGACATCCAAGTAAATGGCTGGAAGTTCCAGCCATTGGAGGTTTCAGTCAATGGCAGTTTCAGCCAATGAAAATTGGCCAACGGAAGTTTCAGCCAATGGCAGTTTCAACGGAAGTTTCAACGGAAGTTTCGAAGCCATCTTCCATTATCGGACAACTCAAGATTGACAGAGGGTCGCTATCTTGCTACTGTTTTACTATCTTTCTAACTATCTTACTCACTTTCACGAACTCTTATTAACCATTTAGGAATTTTTCCAATCTCAAGTTGGTGGTGTTTCAAACATCGCTTGTTCATATAATGAACGTGGTCAATTCAAAGGGATTGCTACCATTATTTTCAACTCCGCTAAAGCTGCCTCCAGAGCTGTTGAAAAATATAACGGTGCTCCAATCGATAATGGATCAAACAAATTGAAATTAGAATTAATTATTGACCCAACTAAAAAACCTTTAAGCACCAGAATCACCGCTAACGCTAAACCAACTAAATCTTTAACTCAAAGAATTAAAGCTGTTGGAGTTCCAGTTAAAAAAGCTGGTGCAAAAGGTGGTAAACCTCCAGTTAAAGGACAAGCCGTTAAAGGACAAGCCAAAGGTCCAAAACCAGCCAAAAAGAAAGCTCCAAAGAGAGAAAAGAAAACTGTTGAACAATTAGATCAAGAAATGGCTGATTATTTCGAAAACTAGTTAGTGTATAGTTGTAAAATGTATTGTAATTGTCTGAGAATAGGTTTGTACCAAATGGCGGTAGCGCGGCATAAATTAGTACCATTAGATTTGGTACCATGTCGCACCGTTTGGTACCATGTCGCACCATTTGGTACCAAACAAGATCAAAACTATAACCTCTTCGAGCAGCAGTATTCGCGAAACTCGTCTAATGAACATCAACTACATTATCACAGCAGAGTTTCATGTGGACAAAGGTCCTTCATTACTCCACCAGTTCCCGTCAGAGGTTCCTGGTATTAACAATTTATTTTTCCTTCCTGAATTAATGATTCCTGATCAAATCCATAAGAGAGATGAGGATTTCACTTTATTCATGTTATTCAGGAACACAACTACTGGGGAATTTCAATACTTAAATGATGTCAATTGTGAAAACGAGCCGTACTACGTGTACACCATAGTCAATAACTTGAAGGATGATAGTGTTAGAAGAGGGTCAGTTATCAAAAGTATGTCAATAATCACTCAATTAGGATACTTTAAGAACTTTAAACCTTTAATGGTGATTGCTTTGGATGAATATTTCTCCAACACCAACATATCCTTATTAAAAAACCTTTACAAATGCTTGAACAGTAAGAATTTCCAGGTGGGCAAGGAATTGTCCATAGTGAAGAAATTGTTGATAACTTCAATTTTGGATCTCCCCATTAATGATAAGATTTATTATGATGAATTCTTCCGAAACAAACTCTTAGAGGTGGAGAGTCCTAACGGAGATTTGTTCATAAGGAAAGATTTGAGTTATAACTCCGTGATTGAGTTTTCAGGGATGAAAATTCCAGTAAAGATTCCGTTGATCGAATTACCTGATAATTTGGGTGATTACTTAAATCCTACAGATTTGAACTTCAAATCCAATTTGATCCATATTTTGAATAGTAAATTATCATCACAATGTCAGAATTATGATTTAACGGTGTATGGTCTTCAAACTCCCAGTATTATCTTATTAATCAACGCTATCTTGACGGGGAAAAAGATCATGGTTTTGAGTTACGAACATCCTTCAGGGTTTATCATTGATTTCATTTTGACTATCTTGAAGATTGTGTCAGGAGGAGGGATCTTATCGGGGATCTTAAAGAATTATAATGTGTTTCCTATTTTGGATGTTAGTAAAATCGATCTTTTAGAACGATGCCCTCATTACTTAGCTGGTACTATTAATCCTTTCTTTAAGAATAATGATGCTTTATGGGATATACTTTATGATTTGGATACCAATGAGATCACTATATCAAGTAAGATCGATGAAGGGGTGGAAATTAGAAATTCTATCATTTCTGAAGATGCAAAATTCTTACTGAACTTACAATTATCATTATTCAACTATAACGATGACTTAACCACCATTCAATTGATCTTGAGACGTCATATCAATGAGATCATTCGTATTCTTATATCTTCTAAGAACTATCAATCCGATAATGGGAAGCAAATCTTACTTTTACCGGGAGTAGGATACCATTGGTCGAGTGATACTACCAAATTGATCGAAGTATCAACATATCAATCGATCCAGAAGAAATTTAATCAATTGAAAGAGTCAGTTTTGTGTTACAACTTAATGATTAATAACCTTGCTAATGAATTGAACCTAATGATCGATATTCAATACAATCTTCAGAAATTACATAATCAAAGTCCGGACGAAAGATCCATTTGGTTTAATATTTTGAAATATTTGATCTCAGCTAAATCTTTGGAAGTGTTCTTATTGATGACATATTTGATCCCTCCTACCAATAGTTCCAGTTTACAGTCAAATTCTATCCATGGAGGTAATTTGACTATCTTTGATAAGAACAAAGGTATTGAATTGGTGCTTATAAATCTCTTTAACAACGATAATCAGATCAAATCCAACATTTTGATGATCTTACAGGAACTTAATGAGAACTTCTTGTGCGGATGGTGTTTGGATGGGTTCATTAAGGGGAATTTAGTGTATGAGATGGCATTTGATGATTTATCGAAGCTGAACCTTTCATAGTGTATAATATGTAATATAAGAAGTACGTGTTTATTTGTGTATATACAGGTGTGATGGCAGGATGAGGTATGGGAGGAAGTGATGGTAGCACGATTTTGGCTCAGCACAATGTTAGCCTAGGGCAACGTACAAAGTACAGGTAGTCGCACAAAGTACAGGACTAGAATCAGGTCACCATAAAAGTCTTACCTCCACATACTGGAAAAAGTAAACCTATCACCAGTCTTTCTACTACTATAACTACTTCCAGCCCCAACATACTTACTTTTCCTCTCGAAATCTCCTTCTTCAGTGTTCATTCCAGGATAATTCTTCTTGATTTCAAACTCTTCCAATTGTGACTTGATTCTGGAATTTATTATCGCATCTGATTCTTGTAAATGTCTAACTTTCTTATATTCACTAGCACGTGACTTCCCGTAGAATGCAATCCCAATAGCTATAACAGAGAATATACCTAACTTAGTAAGAATTCCTGATCTTGTTTCTACACTTGGTTGAACCATGATGATTTTTCGCACATAAGGTGAGAAAACTTGAGGAAATGTCACAAAATGTCGGATCGTGTCGTTTGATGTCGGGCATTAACGACAATGTCGCAAACGCGCAGGTTTTTTTTTTACCCCAGAACATGTGAATTTTACTTACTTACCGTGGATGTATATAAACTGGAGAAAACTATCAAAACATTAAACATGTCAGACGTTGAAGAAATTGCTCATGCTATTGCTGGTGCTGGTGGAGGTGCGTTATCTATGGTGGTGACTTATCCTTTGGTAACACTTTCCACCTTAGCTCAAACCACCAAAAAGTCCAAAGAAGCTAAAGATGGTGAATCAGATGTTAAGATCACTAATGCCACAAAAGAAGCTTTTAATAAGATTATTCATGAGAAGGGAGTATTGGGTTTGTACTCAGGATTGGAAAGTGCTTTGTATGGGATCACTTTAACTAACTTCATCTACTATTACTTCTATGAATTGACTTCCAATGTGTTTTTAAGAGCTAATAGTACAGGTAAAAGGAAAGGTAAAGGACTTAGTACTTTACAGAGTATAATGACCGGTGCTATAGCCGGGGCTGTCACTTGTGTGGGATCCAATCCTTTCTGGGTCGCTAATACTAGAACCATGACAGCACAAAAGGAAGGTAAATCCACAAATACTTTCAGAACTTTATTGGAAATTATTGAAAATGATGGGATTTTAACTTTATTTGCCGGAGTTTTACCAGCTTTGGTGTTGGTGATCAATCCAATAATACAATACACTATTTTTGAACAAATTAAGAATTTGATTGTAGCTAAAAATGGTAAGAAATCATTCACAGCCGTTAAAGCTTTCTTCATTGGAGCTTTCGGGAAATTAATAGCTACTTCCTTGACTTATCCGTACATTACTTTGAAATCTCGTATGCATGTTAGAAAGAAACAAGAAGGTAAACAATTATCAATGATTGAAGAGATCAAAAAGATTATTCATGAAGAAGGTATCGATGGTTTATATGGTGGTTTGAATGTCAAATTGATCCAATCAATTTCCACTGCTGCGTTCTTATTTTACTTCAAAGAGGAATTATTGGTGGGTAGTGTTAAATTAGTGGAAATTATGAGATTATTGAAATTTAAGAAAACTGTTGTGTAGGAGAAATTAGAAGTTTTAGGACTCTTTCTTACCTCCCTATCTCTTTGTGTATTATTCATATAGTTATTTTCGACGTGTTTATGGATTAGACGTGTTTGTGGATTTCATTTTATAAAAAATAAATCTCGTGTTTGTGGATTATATTTAATTAAATGCACAAACTCAAAATATCACGCGCATTTGGTTATTAACAATGATTAATGCTTTTAAACCATATGCCCCCATATTGTTTTCGACTCCTCAACCTATTCTTACCCCAGAGTCTTTGAATAGAGATATCAACCCTCGACCCATTCACCTGCACAATGATTATTGGCGTAAAAGTACCCATGGCGGTGGAGCATTTATTGAAGCAGTCAAGCATGGAGCAATGAGTATTGAAAGTGATGTTTGGGTATTTGACAAAACTTACACTGTTCTGAGAGTGGGGACCGACACTCCTACGACGTTACAAAAGAATGAAGTTTATGTTGGCCACAACCATATTTATTTGAAGGAGGATGAGACTTTGGATTCCCTTTATTTGCAGCCTATGATGGAATTACTCGATTATGCCAATCCATCCATCGAACCAAAGATCAATGACGAAAAGTATGGCATTTACTTCAATTCTCCGGAAACCCCAACTTACTTCTGGATGGATTTCAAGACTGACGCTCAGTATACCTATGAGATCATTAAACCACATTTTCAGGAATTCATAGATAAGGGATATTTGGCTTATTATGACCACGAGGAGGATAAATTTGTTTCAGGTCCTATAATTGTGACAATCACCGGGAACATACCTGACATCAAAGATAAGAAGCAGTATTTCTTTATCGATGGGCCCCTCCACAAGTTTGAAGACATGTCACATCAGGAATTGAAGGAATTGAGTAAAGTTTGCAAGGTTGCACTGGCATCACAGAAACAAATTGATGATCTACATAATGGCTTGTATTCAACTAAACTATTCACCCTAGCTCATGAGTATGGTATGAAGACTAGAGTCTGGGGTGGACGCAGCTGGCCACGACTGGAAGCAGAAGCTGATAAACTCCGCGGATTCCAATCAGGTTGTGACTTCATTAATTCAGACGATTTGACTTTTGGTGGATAAAGTAATCCCCGTTGCCGCAAAAATACTTCAAACCCGCTGCTCTGAAGCCAATTCCGCATACTCTAAGCCAATTATATAGCGTCTTATATTAGCAGTATACTCTTGGCCCCCTTGCACATGCCCTTAACCCCCTTACACATGCCCCTAACCCCTATCACCACGTTTGAGGTCGGAAAACATGTGGGTGCGAATGGCTGCAAAAAAAAAGTTTATATAGGTTTGTGGATCTGGGGACTGCCACAAATAGTTAGAAGCCACAAATAGTGAAAAAGCCACAAAGATGAGTTTATTTCAAAGTACCCCTGATGCGGTTGTTTTAGCCAACAATATAACTTTCCTCAGTGCCAAAGAAATCACTGAAGATGTGTTTGTTAAGAAATGTCATAGTCATAATGATTATTGGAGAAAAATCCCATGTTTAGAAGCTATTAGACATGGTGTACAAAGTATTGAAGCCGATATTTGGGCCTTTGATGAAGATTTTTCCACCGAATTGACTGAAACTCCTTCAACTTCTAATGATACCGTTACTACTCAACAAAACTTCAAGGCTGGTGAATTATACGTTGGTCATGATTTATACTATTTGAATGAAACTTGGACTTTAGAGAAATTATATTTGGATCCAATCTTTGAATTGATTGAATCAGCTAATCCAGAATTTGCCGCTGATAACAAATATAACACTGGTGAAAGTCCTCATGGTATTTTCTATGGTGATGTCGGTGCTACTCTTTATTTATTCTTAGATACCAAATTAGACGCCAACACTTCATATTCTTATGTTAAACCAATGTTACAAAGATTCATTGATAAAGATTATTTAACTTACTACAACGATAGTGCTAGTAAATGGGTTACCAGACCTTTAACTATTGTTATGACTGGTAACTTACCTGTTGAAATGGTTCAAGCCGAAGAACCTAGATTTGTTACTTTAGATGGTAAATTACCATGGTTTAACTCAACTTCTTCTGATGAAACTATGAAAGATATCGCTAAATACTCAGTCATTGCTTCAGCTTCATACAGTCAAATGTTTGGTGGCGGTAACTCTTTCAAAACCAGAATGTTCAATGAAACTGAAAAAGCTATTTTAGCTGAAACTTATTCCTTATGTCACAAATACGGAGTTTTCTCCAGAATCTGGGACCATGTCAACTGGCCAAGGTACATCAGAGATGGTCAAAATAAAGATATTATCACTTTAGGTGCTGATTTCTTGAACATCGATGAAATGGATGTTGCCGATGCTTTTTAAAGCATCTTTTTATAGAGCGTTTAACCTTCTTGGGTAAATAGCAGTTTATAGTGTTTCGTTAAAAATGGATATGCCGATCCCCCTGAAAATCTTTTTGTGGTTTGTGAAACAAATAAAAAAAAATTAACCGCCCACGATGTTATTACCACAAAAAGGATTTTTCTTTTGTGTCTTTGCAACCGTCGGGAAGGAAGTGCTTTACGGCACTTATGATACTCTTAAACCTCGTGTTTGACTACGTATAAGGATATGTCATTATATAAAGGGACTGAAGTAAGCCATATTGACCTATATCAAAATGTTCAGTTTGGCCAAAATCGTAAGTGTAGCCTTATTGGCAGTGCAAATCAATGGTGATCTTGCCCCTAACCCCGATTTAGATACTTTAGATATCTCCCTTACTCAAGGTGTGGCCACTCATCCTGTTCATTCTCATAATACTTATGACAATGGAGGTATGGTAAAGGCATTAGAAAATGGATGTATTAGTATGGAAGCTGATGTATGGTTTCAATCTAATGAATTATATATTGCCCATACTACAGGAGAGATCGATACTACCAAAACCTTAGACACCATGTATTTAGATGGTCTTTTCAAATTGTTACAACAGAGTCAAGACAAGGGAACCAACGGGCTTTTCATTGAAGACCCAAGTCAAACTTTACACCTACTTATTGACTTCAAATCAGCTGCTAGTGATACTTATCCTTTGATCAAACAAAAGTTTCAGAGATTCATCGATAACAATTGGTTAACTTACTATGATAACAACCAACAGAAATGGATTTTCAGACCATTAACTGTGGTTTTAACTGGTAATCAACCTGACCTTACAGGAGAAGATACTAGATACTTCACCTTAGATGGAGATTTGACCAAATTGAAAAATCCCGATCAACAACAAATCGATGAAATGAAGAAATACTCCGTGGTGGCTTCAGCTGATATGACCAAGTATTTGGGAACAGGATTATTCCAAATCAGAGAATTTAGTAGTTCGGAACAGAACCTCCTCTCCACAGGATTCACTACTGCCACCACCAATGGTCTCAAATCCAGACTTTATGGAGGTGTTACATGGTTAGGGGCTTTACAATCCCGTGAAAACCAACAACTCTATGAATTGGGTGAAACATTGATCAATATCGATGATGTTACTCAAGCCTCTTTATACTAATATATGCCTTTATGATCTCCCCCTCGCTTCGCGTTTTCTTTTATGGACAAGAAGTTCAATATCATCTTGGGTAGTAGTAGCCGATCAAGGAATGGATGTGCTAACTGTAAGAGGTCAAAGAAGAAATGTGACGAAGCATTCCCCAGTTGTGGATTGTGTAGCAAAAGGAAATTAGAATGTCGATATGAAATATTTAGAAGTGCCAAAATAAAGAAGGTGAAGAAAGGTAGTGAGAGTGTGGGAGATAAGGGAGTAATGGAGGAATTGGAGAATCATTTCGACTTAAGAGATAGAAAAGGTTCAATCGAGGTGACTGATAATAAAGAACCTGTGATACATACCGTGGGGGATGTGATAGGTCATAAAGATGAAAAAATTCAGATAGATAATAAGGATATGATACAGAACGTGGGGGAGACTATAGATCATAAAGAAATTGATATGATAGATTTAGGAATCTCTCCTGGAGCTTTAACCAGGCATTCCCCAACTTTTTCAGATATGATGGACGTTCCATTCGATTTCACCATTCAACCCACTTCCACGTTTAATCTTTATCTTGATGAATCAGGGATGCAATTTCTTAGATATTTCGAAACCACCGTCACTAAGCTTCTTACTTTTGATAGTAAGTCATCCAATTATTTCCTTAAAACTTTCCTTCCCATGAGTTTAACCGAAGAAAGTATTTCTCACGCTTTAGCGTGCTGGGGAGGAGTTTTCAAAGAGAAGAAGGGACTTGAAGATTCTAAAGTAAAGAAACATCTTGATAAGTCATTCACGTTGATCAGATCAGTCAATCAGAACACCAACTTCGATCTTTACCTCCTTTTCTGCTTTTATCAAATCATGATAGGAATCCATGTTTGTGCTGGAGATGTGATCAATTGGTATAAGATGTTTGAGACATGTAGTGTCATGATACGGCGGAACGGAGGGATAGGTAACCTTCTTAAACGGTTCAATCATTCCAATGATTGTAAATGGTTCATCTCTAACCATGAATATCACGACATTCTCAATTCAAGAGCCTTTAGATATGGAACCCATTTCCCTATTCAGGAGTATAATCAGTTGAACTTCTTTGATTATGGGATTGATCCATTCCAAGGGTGTCACAATACGATTATCTTGTTGTTAGGGGAGGTTTTGAACGAGAAAACTCATCTTCCTAGTTTGACTTTGCAGCAAATTTGGGATAAGTTCAATAGTTTATGGGTAAAAATTGATAATTGTGAACCCAATGAGTATCAGTTGAATTTGTTGGATGAGGAGGACAAAATCATTCATTTGAATTGTTGTAAGGCGTTCAAGATAGCCACCAAGATCGTGTTGTTGACATATTTCAAGAAACTTCCACCTCAGGCATTGGATATTCAATTATTGGTCATTGAAGGATTGGAATTGATTGAAATCTTGAAGACTTCTAAGTGTGTCACTTCTATAACCTTCCCATCATTGATTGTGGGGATTAACGTGGTAGGAGTAGAAAGAGAGGTGTTTAAGATGTTGCTTGAACAGATCTATTCCTTCTATACGGTGGGGAATTTGAGGAGAGTGAAGGAATTGATTGAGATGTATTGGGAGAGAACCGAGGGGGAGAAATGGGTTGATTTTGTGGATATAGTTGATGATTTAGGTTGGGAGTTATCATTCTGTTGAGCCGTGGAGTTTGAAGAGCCGTCTTACGTGCTGGATGGGTAACAGAAGTCTTGGAGCGTCTCAACTGCCTGCCCCCTTATATAGATCACTTATTATTATTATGTACATTATAGATATCGCTACAACCTTCCTAAACTCAAATTATCTATTAATTGACCCCTATTTAAAAAGATGGAAGAACTTCTCTTTTTTGGTTTGTGGAGCTACAGCATCCTTAGTTGGATCGGTAGGATCTTTACCATGTTGGTCTTCAACGGCATTATGAGTATCACCCAAGTAATAGTTAGTTTGGAGGAAACTTAATAAGAATTCAAGAGCTTCTAAACAAACAGCGATGATGAAAAGGTAATAAGCAACATAAGAATAAGCCTTGATGGCACCCTGTCTATCGGGACTATCATAAGGTAAAGCCCTTAAGGAAGAAACATTAGTGAAGTAACCTTGAACCACAGCATCAGGGGTATCTTGGGGGATGAATTCTCTCAAGTAACCTGGTAATTTAGAAGTCCAAATGGGTCCAGAGATACACGACCCAATGGCACCACCAATATTGGAGAATAATGATAACATCCCCATAACCAAGGTCATATCTTCATGAGGAACAGAAGCTTGGGAAGATAATTGAGTACCTATGACCCCGAAACTTCCACCAAACCCAATGATAATTTGAGCCATTATGAAAGCTGCTAATGGAGCTATTTGACCTTGAGGTCTAATGGCTAACCCATAACCTAATACTTTAACAGCTAATCCACATACTTGCATGTACTTATAACGATGAGTGACTCTACAGATAACACCAGCAAGGACACCGAATGAACATAACGACATGGTCATGATGTTATTGAAATAAGTCCAGTTCTGATCAGAAATGTCTTTGGTTACCCAAACAATGGTGGATAAGTATAATCCACGGACTTGTCCGGCCATCAAATACATTGCATCGATTAAAGCACAGGCAATGAAAGTCTTATTCTTCAATACTCTGGCAGGCATACATGATTTTGGACAGATAGTATTTTCATAGATCACGAAAAGTACCAAGATAACGAATCCCGTGACTATCATGGCGATAATACTAGGGTTTCTCCAACCATTATCAGCGTAACTGTATAAGGAGAAAGGAAGTAATAAAAGGGACCATCCGAATCCCAACAAGATCAATCCCAAAGCATCAATATCGATCAAAGCTCTATAAATAATGGCAGTCCAAGGTTTTTTGGGCTTTTTCTCCTTAGTGACAAGTTTTTGGGCTTTGTGTTCAAACATAGCAATAACACTAACAGCTGGTGCTACAGCTACAGGCATAATAATGGCAAACATACCAAAACCCCATCTCCAATTGGTCTTCAAGATAGCTTGAACGATCAATCCCGCAAACCAAGTATTAATCAAATAAGGAGTTGAGAGAATACCAAACATCAACCCTCTCCATTTCAAAGTAGTTAAATCAGCTACAATAACACTATTCATGAAGGAAATACCTGTAACCCCAACAGATGTAAGAACTTCTCCGATGATATAAGCCCCAATAGTAGAAGAAGATGCAGCTATGATGGTTCCTAAAGTATAAATAACCAATGATAAGGCATAACACCAAGGTCTGGAGGTGATATCGGCCATCTTACCTAAGATAGGTCTCATGATGGAGGAGATAAGGGAGGTAGCTATACTTAAAGTTGAAATCATAGAATGTCTGTTAAAACTTGAAGTAGCAGGAACTGAATAATTGTAAGTAGTAGAAGAATCAAAAGCATGGGCCCAAGCAACCACTAACAAACAAATACATAAACCTATCATGATACTTTTACCCTTAGGTGAACTACTGATCATAGTTTTAACATTTTCTATTCTTTTAACCCCTCTACTTTTGATATATTCTGTAGAAGTGTTGGAATCAAGTAAATGAAGTTGATTTTCAACTTCTGACTCTTTAGTTCCATATTCAACATCAGATACGTTTTTCTCCATATCAGAGGCTGATTTTTCTAAGACTTTCTCATCCAATGATCTTCTTTCACTAGTCATCTTATTTGCCTTATTATTCTGTACTTTCAAGCGGAATATCTGTCTTTAAGTAGTTAAACAAATGAAAATTTATTGTTCTTCACACCTCCCATTTCAGGATATAGGGTTATGTGCGCGGCTTCATTTTATCTTTTTCATCTATCGATAAATTCCCGTTTCGTTGCGATTTTCGGTTTTCTTTTTGTCGGAAACTGCTCTTGTTAGGGTGAGATTGGCAATTTAAATTAAGATTGTCGACACTTGACAGATCTGATAGTGAAACTTGATTCATTCATAGTTAACACCTTTGAGAACTTCTATTAAACTCCCACTGTTGGATAAATCTACTTGTGGTGACTTTCAGATGCAAGTGGAAATGAAGCCGGAATGGTAACCATTTCAAGAAATCCCACTTTTAAAGGTTTACCTGCACATATATTCTAAATGAGGAATATCTGATTGGATCAAGAAGTCTTGGTATTCCCTTTTATCCAATGACAATACGGGAAGTACCTGTAGCTCTGACTATTTTTTATTGTTGTACATATAACATGAGTAGTAATTCTTGTTGGAAAGTGTGTTACTTATGCCGTACACCTTAGTACTGGTAGCCATTGCCAGGAGGTCCAAGAAGTACGATCTTTACCACAAAACTATCCAATGGTCGTAAAGTTTACGGATATAACAGAATTTAATCGCCTGTTATACCGGCTAAAGATTACCTTCAGTGCAGTCTCGGACAAAATAGTGGTATTCCGTGAGAGAAATGAGTGAAGGTGAAGTTTGAGAGACCCAGATAGGTAGCATTCTCGTCTTGTAGGGCTTTGACGTGATAGATATCCCTCTCAGTAGATGCTTGTGCTAGGAGGTGGAGTTTTCATAAAGCGGAATCTACAAGAACAAGGAGTTTCTTTTGCTGGCTTTATTAATTTTCAAACCTCCTGCAACGGCTGATTCTGACAATACGACCATGATTCACATCCACTTATAGAAGGTGAGCATTGACGGCCCCGAGAATTTTATTCCAGTAAATATATTTCCGTCCGCCTTCTTCCATTTCCAACACTTCCGTTGATTAAATGCTTCAACCAAGTTGGCTGATAGCTTCATCCAACAATTTTTTTTGGCAACTTTCCCAACTTTATTTCCAATAATCATCCGGCGTTATATCTCCGATATGTGTCGTATGTCGTGAATGTCTTCCAAAATTCGCGGGTTTCCCTCCGTACACCTATGGATAAACGTAGGAAGCTTCATCTGTGTGGGTTCTGTCGTAAACGAAAGATCAAATGTGATAGGCAGCAGCCATGTTCATCATGTGTCAAGTTCAATCAAGTATGTTCGTTCACTGAAGAACCCATTGGCCGCGGTAGAGAGTCCACACCGGCCACACCCAGACCTGAGGTGTCGGAGAAGAAGGATCGGTCGATAGAACAAGAAGTTTACGAACAAATTCATAAGTTGTCTAGCAAAATTGATGCTTTAGAGAAAGTTATTGCCGCTGATGATGGAGAATTAATGGACTTCCGACAATTTGGTGATAAGAATAGTCTTAATCCGCCTATGATAGATCGATACTTTGGACCATTCAGTTGGGTTAACACTATTAAATTTGATCCAGTATTATCCCGACTCTGGTGGGATAATGACACTGTTGGTACTGGAAGCACAGTCTTTCTACGGAACACCCCTTCAACTTCCAATATTACTTTAAATTCAGATCATATGTTTGATCACGTGCCGGTTCACGTGATTTTTCATCATAAATATTATTCACCCCCAAGTGCCCTCCAAGGTCCTCCAAACAGAACAGTTGGTGAAGCTGACTCATTCAAATCCAAATTTGATGTTATAAGGAAGATTGAAGATCTTCTACCACGGCCTGAGGCGGTGGAGGTAATTCTCAATATCTATTTCTCCACCCTCCATCAATGCTTTCCGTTCATAGAAGAGTCAGACTTTCGTAGTACCCTCAAAACTCTAATCAATAGTGATGGTACGTTGAACGTCCAGACCAAGGATGGGTTTGCTTACTTAGGGATGTTACTCATAATGTGTAAGATGGTACATGTTTCGATTCTTCTCGATGATTTCTCCCTTCTGACGACGTTTGGTGATACTTTGAACGAACTTACGACCACCACCATCGACATGAGATTCATGGATGCTGCACAATTGTGTATGAACCAATCAAACTTGATTACGTCCATGACAGTTCCGGTATTCCAATTATTAGCCCTATTAAAGACCTACCAAACTTATGGACCTGAGTTTGGTGAGGGGCCCGACGAAGGTGAGGGTCAGGTTTTTACCTCTTTAGTGTTACAAGCAGCCTACAGTCTTGGAATCCACAGAGAACCCACTCAAGGTGATGATGACCACAAAGATTGTCTACGTCGACTGTGGTACCATTTGATTTTGAGTGATTATAATTGTTTCTTCACGAATGGGGATGTTTTGAATATCAAGAAATTTTACTCCAACGTCAATTTACCTACTGAAGATTACCACGGACTCGTAGGAGATTGGGAGAAGCAGATACCCAAATGGGAAGAAATCTACAATTTGGTCAAAGGTCCATTTTCTCAAGATGATTTAAGTCCATTTTTGGATGAACTTGTCTATGAACCACAAAACGATGTATTCGTGGATTCTTTCCGTTTCCAGAATCGTTTAAATGTCATCCATCTTTCGATATCGGCATATTTTCATTTATTCAATCACGGAATTCGTTTCAAAGCATTACTTTCGACATTCTATGCTATCTACCACGAGTTCTGGCCAATGGTGGGACAGATGACGGGCAAAATCAAATTGTTGTTGGTTCCGATTTTCATAAGTATTTGCCAGAAGATCCTTCATATCAACGTTTCAGTTGGATCCCGGACTTCAGATAGCCACTTAGCGTCTTTGCTTACCCGATCAAGTGGCTTTGTTCAGAGGTTTTTGAGGTACTTGGCGACAGAGTATTATTTTGGTTGGAAAGTGTTGAAAGTTAGTGATAGATTAGGCACCGTACCACCAGAACAGAGTGGTGAGGGACTTCATAGGCTCACAGCTGATGAAGATGCTACTCTTAGTAGTATTGTCGAAAGGGCTTTGGAGAACAGTGTAACGTTTCCCGAAGTAGCTGTAGATGATAACAAGTGGCTAGCCATTCAGGGATTCAAACATAATAAAGCGTACAATGAAGAGGAATATTTCAGAACACTCGACCGTTGAGGGGACAGTGAATCACGGCCCAGTAAATCATGTTGGGTGTTGCCGTCATTTTTTTTTCAATTTGTGTCACTCTTATTTGTGTCACTCTTATTTGTGTCACTCTTATTTGTGTCACTCTTATTTGTGTCACTGTTATTTGTGTCATTTCTACTTGTGGAGGTTAAAAAAAAAAATTCAGGGCATTTTCTTTTTTGAGAATTTTGGGGTTTATAGTTTCAGGTATAATTGAATTGTATAGCCCTCACCCTCGCTTACTACACCTATAACCTCTGTGTCCAACGAAATATATGATTTCTCGTATTTCAGTAAGGTCAAATTCGCCCTAACCCGAAATCTCCGGTAGCGTTGCCAAAGTAATGAGTGCGAGACATTATCGGGCAACTGAAACATCTATGTATAATTAATAACCCCGTCACTTCAATCATCAGAAGCTAATGCCAGTCAAACATCTTTAACTTGACTATCAATCAAATCAAATCATCAAATTTGTGGAAAATATCTGTTTGTAAACTATGCGCTTAGAAGGACGAAAGATTTTAAACCATTTCAAAACCCATTCCTCTGAGGTTTAAATCCAAAGTCAAAACCTTCTGTCAGCCGGACACCTCGTAAACGTATCACATGAGTCGTCACCATATCAAAAAATGTCTCCACCGTCAATTTATAATGACTTGCATTTCCATCTGAGGATGTTCAAATATCCAATAAGGTACAGCAATCACATCTGCCAATTAGGATCATCAACTAGGTCCCTCCCAAGTTCATACTAAGGCCATTAGTCACAGTCACCAGTTTACTCCATTTGTACCAAGTGCGCTTTTTTATCGCATTAATGGCTATCAAAAGATCCAGACCAACATCCGTCTGCCAATTCTGTAGGAAGCGGAAAGTCAGATGTTCCAAAGGTCAACCATGTACGACGTGTGTTAAGTATGGTAACAAGAATTGTGTTTATGAAACGTTCCCCAATGATACAGAAGTAGAAAAAGAGACAGCCCTATTGAAGAGACTAAAGAATCAAGTCAGTGAATTAGAAGATAAGTTGCGGTACAGTGTTAAAGGAGTCAATGCACCCATAGTAGGGATGGATACTCCAAGTCCTGGTCCCAGTCAAGGTCCCAGTCAAGGTCCCAGACAAACTCCAATTCAATCAAGTCAACTCAATCGAACCCCAGACCAAAGTCCTCAAGGAAGTCAAATGTCGCCCATGCGTAATCAGTTCCTTGACTTCTACCTCCCCTCCTACAGTCCATTGAACCCTACCAATCGACTCAGCGTATCCAACCTCATCAACGAGTCCAATGGTCACGACGATACCATTAATCTATTCACTTTATATGATTCTGTGTACGACATGGAACCCATCAAAAGACGACATTTCGGACCTTTAAGTTGCAACTCCATCTTACGGGCTGATCCCTTACTATATAAGCTTTACCTCAGTTTCAACAACTCCGGTAAGGACAAGTTCATCCATAGTTTCGTCAATGATAGTAATGAGTTCAATACAGACCAATTGGTGGTGTACGGAAATATCCGAAGTACCAAAAACGATGCTAACAAATCCACCAGAACCAAGAAGAACCAGGTCAATGAACGAGCTAAGATCCTAGGGTTGATGTTCTTTGAAGGAGACATTGAATCCAAGATCGAACTCATACTGAAAATCAAGTTGATCCTTCCTCAACCTAAGGTTATCACCATGTTAATCGATAGATTCTTCGATTTCCTTTATCCGTTCTTCTCCATCATCGACGAGTTTGATTTTCGGAATAACCTTGATCGGATAATCCATAACGGAAAAATCAATGTGGAGAAACGGCTTGATTTTGCCTATTTGGGAATGTTACTTGTGATTCTCCGATTAAGTTACCTTTCCCTCTTCACCAACATCAAGAAGGTCAATGAAGAGAACTTGTTCAACAACAAGAACGATCAGAAGTCTTTGGACTTGAAATATCTCCTTAATAATCCCATTAATCTAGAGGTCATCACCATTGCACAAATTTGTTTGAACCAGTTCAACCTTGTCAACTCATCCAACTTGGTAATCCTTCAATTGGCTATCTTTGTGCGTTATTATAAGCTCTATGGGCCCGAATATGGTGATGAGAGTGACTCCGGAGAACCCCAGGTGTTTTCAGCGTTGTTGATACAAATGGCTTATAGTCTAGGCCTCCATAGAGAACCAGATAAGTTCAAAGAAGGTTGTAAAGATGAGAAGGTCAATCATCTTGGAAGGAAGATTTGGTCGGTTCTCTATATACTTGACATCTCCACCTCCCTCACTTTTGGTGATCCCTCCTCCATCAATAATTTCCTGGTCGATGTCAAACCTCCGTTTGTTAACGACATCAACTGTAACGTCAAGAATCCTGACTTGGATAAGATCATTGTCATACTTTTGAATAGCCATTCAGAGGTGTTCGCTAAGTTGAATGAGATCTTTGCTATCATCTCCAATGTTAATGAGAAGTTTTCCATTGAAAAATTGAGTTCTATGGGAGATTATTGTTTTGCTAACTTTGCTAACCATCCAGATAAATTTGATGTTGATTTAGAACTTCTTTATAATAAAGATATGTTTCAAGAATTCAACCCCGACGGGCAACCGTCGGGCTCGGCCGCGGGGTCAAATTTTCGAAAACTTTTCCGATTTTATTATAAAACTTTCAAATTGAAATATTACTTTCAAATAAGTTCAGCTATAATGGCATTAAACTATCATTTTGTCAATTATTACTACAAATCGGGGAACTCCGGGAAATCAAACTTCTACCTTAAAAAGATCTTCAACACCTTCTACACTCGATGTTACCCCATTATAGTGGAGCTTGTGACCAACGATACCCGGGACTTGGACGATGTGTGTGAGTTGATAGTGACACCTTCGTTACAGAACATCCTTCACATTGCTTGTCTCATGAACTTGTCACTACTCATCAAGCTAAAGATAGCCAAGCCTGGCGATGGTCAGTTCTCTTCTAATGTGTACTACCTCGAGAGTGTGGTCAACAAGTCACTCCTGACGTTGATCAAGTTCATGAAGATCTTGGGGAACCGGTACTACACTCCGTGGAAGGACGCTAAGATTCTCCCGTTGCTCTTTGAGGAGATTCCTAAGTTCGATACCGCCAACGAGACCCATCCGGGGTTCACCAATGATGATTTGACTGACCTAATAGCGATAGTTAATACCACCGTGGACCTAAATACCGACATTCTTCAAACTGACAATAATGATTCTTTGTGGTTGTTGATAACGGCATTGAGGAAGAACGAGAACGACCACCGGTACTTTGATTTCTTGGAGCCAGAGCCTGTGGAGGAGAAGTTGGATATTGATAATCCGTACTTGGATGAGATATTCAAGGATTTCTTCCCTAAATAGTGGAGTTACAGAGTCCACTTCTATAGGAAATAATGATAATGTCAATTTACTACCATCTTACCGCCATCATCTCCCTAAATTTTGTCTTCGCCTCCCTACGCTACCGAGAAATGGTACTAGAAGTCGTGTATCTACCATCTCATCGCGACTCACCGCCATTATCGCCCTAACTCTACCGCCTAACTCTACCGCCATATCCCGCCATCACCTCCCACTAACTTTTAGAGTGCGAAATCGTCCTACTCATGTTTAATCTTTGTACCAAATGTATAGGTAAAGACGACCTAAGAATGATCAAAGTCCCCCAGGACCAGTGTAAACTATGCTCACGTCCTTTTGACACCTACCACTGGCAATACCACGGCTCCCACAAAACCGTTATCTGTCATACCTGCTCCACCGTGAGAAACTGTTGCCAGGGTTGTATGTTGGACCTAAACTTCCTTATCCCATTGGATATCAGGGATACCGCTTTAAAGATGAGTGGGTTAGAACATTTGGTGCCACAAATATCTTCCACCAGAAATGAGGACGTTAGGGCCGCTATAGCTGATAAACAAGACGGGAAAGTCTCGCTAATGTCTAGTGAGAAAGCTAAGGAGGTACTTGAAAAGCTTGCTGCCGGTTTAAATCAAACTAAGGTCAACCCTAAGTCCACAAAATCCACAGTATCACCAGAATTGTCAAAAATTATCAAGAAACTACCGTTTAACGGGAATTTGACTCCTCCTTCCACCGATATAACGTCATTTTTCATCTTTGGTATTGATCCTAATCTTCCCCAATACTTAATCAGTGATTATGCCTTAAAATTCGGCAAACTCAAGACCATTAATGTGATCCATTCAGCAAAAATTGCATTTGTGGAGTTCACAAAAAGAAGTTCCGCAGAAGCATTCGCTGAGTCGATTAGTGCAAAGAAGGGCCCAGGACTTTTAGTTTTAGGGAGGTTCGCGGTACGAGTGGTATGGAGTGAAGTAATGGTTTTACCTACAAATGAATATAAGAAAGTCTCGTTGGTAGTAGATAAGGTGATGGTACAATTAGCTAAGAGGAAATAATGTAGAATTTATAGTGTAATATAGAAATATTTGTGTTTGGTTGTGTTTGTGTTTGTGTTTGTGTTTGTGTTTGTGGATATTGTGATTTTGTAGTAAATTTTGTGAAATCCACAAAAAGAAGTTACCACAAACAGAAGTTATCACAAACATGAAAACCACAAAAATTGACAATCACAAAAATGACAATCACAAACCCAATAATCACAAACACACCACACACCCAATTAACAACAAACCCATTCATCTTCGAACTAGCCCCATTCCTGACGACATCCCACCACCGTGTCGCACCACCTCTTCCCTAAAATCTACCACGACATGCTCGCGATCTGTTTATCATGGAGTTCGAAACAAGAATAGCCATAAGGGTGTTCCTTTTCCTCCTTCCCTTCTTCATCATCGTGGGACGATTGATCTATATCACTCCTTCCACCAATAGTCCTCCCATTGCTACGTCGGAGTTCCTCCAAACCCACGGCAGTCTCATGATCTTCCTTGGGTCTGGTGGTCATACCGGAGAAATGCTTAAGATCTTAAGCAACGTCGACGTACTGAACGTTACCAGAACTTGGATCGTATCGTCCAACGATACTACGTCGCTATTGAAGTGTGAGGAATTCGAACGGTCGGTGGAATCCCCCCACAGCCCAAGGTTTCTCACCTTACACCGTGCTAGATCAGTGGGAGAGCCTTTAATACTGTCGGCGAAAAACACCGTGATATCGTTCTACGATACCTTCCGTCAGATTTATAGCTTGCCCGAGCTACCATCGGTGTTATTGATTAATGGACCTGGTACCAGCGTACCCATTGCTTATATTTTGTTTGTGTTCAAGTTCTTGGGCTTAGGTCGTACGTCCATAGTTTACGTCGAGAGTCTCGCTAGAGTTAATGAGCTCAGTTTATCTGGGAAATTAGTGTTACCGGTGGCCGATAGGTTCATCGTGCAGTGGAAGCCGTTAAGTTTGAAGTACAAACGGGCTGAGTATCATGGTATATTAGTTTAATACATAGAGTTAGCGAGCATTGCGAAGCGTTAGGGAGCATTGCGAAGCGTTTTAGGGAGAGGTGGTGCGAGTTAGTGAGAGTTAGCGAGAGTTAGTGAGAATCTCTGGCCTGAGGACGTGCGATCTCACACCAACTCGCGCCAACCCGCGCCGTCTCGCGCCAACTCGCACTAACCTCACACATCCCATTCTCACGATGAGTTCCATCTTTACACCATTCACACCACGCGTATGTCTTTCAAAGGAACCCTCCTAGAGTTCCCCCAAATAGCCATAGATCGCTTCAACGTCTCCGCCCAGCTATACCTCCTCACTCATTTCCACAAAGATCATCTAATCGGCCTCGCTAACCAATCATTCCACGGTAGCGTAATTTGCAGCCATGCCACCAAAGATCTCGCCAGACTCGACCCCCAGCTTCGTCATAAAATCACCCATTTCAGGGCCCTCCCGTTCAACATTGCCCATAAGTACACTGTGGGTGACACAGAAGTGGAAATCGTCCTTATACCGGCGTACCATTGTCCTGGTTCTACGATGTACCTCGTTAAATCCGTCACTACGGCCGTGCTCTTCACTGGTGACCTCCGTGCTGAACGATGGTGGGTCCAAGCCCTCCCTAAGAACATCCATCTCCTTCCATACATCACCGGCTTAGACGTATTGGACACCATTTACCTTGACACCACCTTCGCCTATCGTGGTGAGCCATACATTGAGATCCCTCACAACCACGACGGAGTGGCTTTGGTGGTGAGCTTACTACGGAAGTTTCCTCAGGATATGGACGTGGAGGTATACTTCCGGGACCATGTATCGGGGTTTGACGAGGCGTGGAGTCAAATCGTAGGCAGTGTTGGTGGTGGAGTCCATTTCGATGATGCGATGTTTAGACGGCACCAGGTGGTGGATGGCCATAGCACCTATGCTCCGGTGGACAGAGAAGGAGCCACCGCCACGCCCCGGTTCCATGTGTGTAACCCTAGGACCTGTCCCAGCAGGGCCAAGTTCAAAATCAACGTTCGTCAGGCCATCAACTTCAATATCGTCGACCTAGCACTGTCACTAATGCCGCTAGATTTGCGTCGCATTGATCCCCAGGAACTTAGCACCATGGTTACTGAGGATGTCACTGTGGGAGGTCACGAGATAGTACGGTTTCGTCAACGGACGTGGCTCAAAGTGGGTACGGAGCTTCTTCCTCGGGAGATAAAGCTCATATTCTCTCGTCATTCGTCTTACACCGAATGTAAGGAGTTTGTAGGGATGTTTAGGCCCCGTCAGGTGGTACCTTTGACGGAATCGCACCACACCTGGTGCCAGGGATTCCTCATGTCCCGCGTGTTTGGCGACGTTTGTCGTGGGAAACGGGTGGAGGATTTTGTCTATGACCTCACCAACGCCACCACCAAGGGGGTGCCACCTAAGAAGGTTTTAGCACGGAAAGTGGCTACGGTAGACCGATGGCTGGTAGAGGGTTGTAGAGCAGAGGTTAAGTTTGTCGATAGGATGGTGTCAGGGCTAGGTCCATTAGGACCACTTCCTATTTTATCCACTGCCACCAGGGATTTAGGTGAAGACCCATCAACACCCAGCGTTGTTCGACCAACGTCCAGCGTTGTTGGACCAACATCCAGTGTAGTTAGATCAACACCTAGCATGACCCATTCGGGCCCCAACATAACCCAGTCCCTCGACCCAGTCTACGTCCAAGAGATCCTACAACACACGGAAGCCGTCTATAAAAAATATATTAATCTGAAGATACCGGGCCATAGAATAGCCTTTGACATGAGTTTTGATTCAGACAGGTCCCTGGATAGGTCGCTGGACCCAGTGCTGGACCGGTCGCGAGACTCATTGCCATCACTGGGTCCAGCACATGTCACTGAATTTGGTACCGCACACCGACTCCCCACGGTAGAAGGTATTGCTTCCTCCTTTAGTTCAGAATGTTCCCACTACCTTGCTAATAATAACGTCGATGAAGTGGGCATCGCCAGGATTTGTAGGAAGTTAAGGAGACGTCGGGAGGAGTATTTTCTGTTGCGGTTGGAGTGTTTGCAGTAATATAAGTGAAGGGTTCGTCTCTTGGTGAGAAGGTCGCAACGTGGAACAAACTGGAGCGAGCTGGACCAAATTCGTACCAAAATGGACCAAATTCGCACCAAATTGGACCGAATTCGCACCATAGTCGACCAAGCTCGCACCGTCGTTTCGCTCTGTGCTTCGCTCTAATTCTCTCTCCATTGATGGGAACACTTAACACACTTGTAAAACGTCGTCATAGGCTCATCAGCTGATCTGATCTGTAACTGGAAGAAGTATGCCTTATCACCTCCACAAACATCTCGAGGACATTGGGCTGGGGTTTGGTCAACATTGTCCCAAGCACCTTCACCACCTAAAACATCATCAACTTCCTTTCTAGGTAACTTTTTCTTATCAAACATCTGGAGACCATTAATAGGGAACTCATAGGGACAAGTGGAGCAGTATAACTTGTTACAGTCACCTTCTGATGAGGCTACCATCAACATATTGGAACAATTTGGACAGAATGATAACATGAGATGAGGTACAAAGATCGCGATTTTTCACATTTGTGGTCGAATGTTTAATGGTAAGAAGATAGTGACAATTCCTCGATTATCACCATCACCCATTGATAAGGGGGATGAAGGGCAGAGAATGGAAGGACAAAAATCTGAAATACACAAACATGAAGTACACAAAAACGAAATCCACAAACATGAAGTGTACAAACATGAAGTGCACAAACATGAAGTGCACAAAAATGAAGTACACAAACCCAATATCCACAAAACCAATTCCAATGATTTTGATTTCTATAAACCAAATCCTTTCCAACTTTCACCTGTTAAAACTCCCAAAGGTAGAGCTGGTCTCCCGTCACCCAAGAAAAGGTCAATTGATAATCTAAACGGTTCGGCCGTTAGACGTGCCATCAATACCAGGATCTCCACTACTTTGGACGACGAAGATACTTTTGAAGATGATGAATTGAACCATCAAGATTTGGAGATTGCTGAAGCTATTATCAGAGAATCCAGAGAAACTCCAGGTACTTCCATCAACCACTATGGTTCATTAATACCGTTGGAAGATGATGAAAGTGATGAAAGTCCTAGAAAACGTAGAACCACAAAAAGGATTAAATACCAAATCTCTGATGATGAGCCCATGTCGGACGACGAAGTGGTGATAAATGAAAGTTCAGAGGAAGAAAAAGATGAAGTTATTTCTGACGTGGAATCGGATGATTTGTCCGACCCTCCTGTTGAAATACCAAAACAAAGAGGTAGAAGACCTAAAGTGCAAGAGTTTTCATCTCCGGTGAAATCACCTAGGAAACAAGTTACGTCGATTTTCCGTCGTGATGATCAAACGCTTTTTGTGGAAAATTTAAGTCCACAAAGAAAATTACATAGCGAAAGTTTACAAAACGAAAGTTTACAAACCCACAATCCACAAACCCAAAAACCACAAACCCAAAAACCACAAAACCAAAAACCACAAAACCAAAAACCACAAAACCAAAAAGATACTATTATCAATACTTTACTTAACCTTGGTCTTCTAGATACTACCAAGAGTTCTATAGTCACAGGAATAGAGAAAATTGACGAAAACTCCACCACTAAGGAGAAATTAGAACTTTTACCGGTACCTCGACTGGCTGATGGTACGGTCCCTCAGGAATATATCGACAAGTATTTGGGTGATATTAAATGGGAAGCTCGTCCTGTTAACGAAGCTGCCGACGACAGAGCTTATTTCATCGAAGGAACTGAAGGATACTTTGATCAAATGAGTAATCGTGATAGACATTCCGTGATGTCATTATCCAGTCTAGGAATCTCCCTAACTCACGAAGAGTTCAGTACCAACATCAGTATGTTAGAACGATTCAAAAAGGATGAAATAAATCAACTTGTAAACTTCCACAAACAGAATTTCAACCAATGGAGTTTCGAATTATCTCAAAATTTCAATCTTTGTTTCTTCGGAGTTGGGTCCAAGATCGACCTATTGAACCAGTATGCTAGCGAGCACCTCATTAATTGGGTCCAATCGTTCTATAAGTTGGGAGACGACCAACTTCCGAAGATTTTGGTGGTAAATGGGTATAATCCCGGTATTAAACTTAAGGAGATGTTTGATGGGTTGGTTAAGGAGTTATTGGCACCAGAACATCGGGGTCATAGCGGGTTGACCAAACCTTTATCGGAATCGTTGCCATTACTTGTGAGGTTGGTTAATAAGTATCGTGGTGCGAACGTTAGAGACGGTGACAGCGATAGTGAAGGTGACGGTGCTAGAGACGGTGACACAGAAAACGGCGGTAAGAAAGCCCCCGTCACTGCCACTCCCAAACTCATCCTCCTTGTTCATTGCCTCGATGGTGAACCTCTCAGAGATGAAAAAAATCAAGTCCACCTCCTGCAACTCGCCAGTCTCCCTGAAGTTCTCTTCATCAGTTCCGTGGACAACATCAACTTCCCCTTACTATGGGATTCGTACAAAACCGAAAATTTCAGGTTTTTGTACCACAACTTAACCACATATAAACCTTTGATTGTAGAGACCAGCTTCAAAGATGCTTTGGCTTACGGGAAGACTCGTCGTACGCAATCATCTCGTGGTGCTAAGTTCGTGTTAAGTGCCTTGAATGAGAATTCCAAGAAGATGTACAAAATCCTTTTAACATTACAGTTAGCTAAGCTTAAGGAACTTAATCCCAAGAACACCGTCAAGACATCTCGTGGTAATCTTCGTACCAGTGTGGACTTTAAAGGGTACCATGAGAAATGTACCCAAGAGTTCATTACCAGTAATGAGATCAATTTCAGGTCGATGTTTAATGAGTTTACTGAACATAATATGAGTGTGTTGACTAAGGATGAAGGTGGTACAGAAAAGGTTTATATTCCTTACACGGGAGAAGAAATGGAGAGACTTTTAAAAGATAGTTTTAGGTAAATAGGAAATGAAGAGGTTTTGAAAGTGGTTTTGTGGATGTCTCTGTTTTTGTGCACTTCTTTTTGTGTACATCTGTTTGTGAACTTCTGTTTGTGCACTTCTGTTTGTGAACTTCTTTTTGTGAACTTCTGTTTGTGCACTTCTTTTTGTGTACTTCTTTTTGTGCACTTCCGTTTTTGTGGATATGTCAATTTTTGTTAGAGTGTATATGTCCTTTCGGTACACATCTATATCTTTCAATTAACCATTTTTAACACCTTTTCTTTGTAGATAACATCCTCTTTGTACACACATCTGTATTTGTCAACAAATTCTTTTTGTGTACAAATCCTTTTTGTGAACAAATCCTTTTTGTACACATTGTAAATCTTTTCTTTCAAAGTGCGTGATTCATCCCTGCGGTCTCAATCCCTCCCACATCCTCGCACAATGGATAAACTACCTCCAGGTACTCAATTAACCGTAGGCCAACATGAAATCACCATCAATGCCTACCTCTCCGAAGGAGGATTTGCCCACATTTATTCCGTCACCATCAATTCCCCCGATTCCCCCATTGCTTGCTTAAAACGAGTCATCGTCCCCGATAAACAAGGATTAGATCAATTACGTAAAGAAGTCGATGTAATGAAGAAACTCAAACATGCCCGAAGTATCGTTAAGTACTACGACTCCCATGCCCAACGTTTGGACTCCGGCTCCTACCAAGTGTTGGTACTAATGGAATTATGTCCCAATAAATCCCTCCTAGACTTCATGAACCTTCGTATCAAGACAAAACTATCGGAACTGGAGATTTTAAAGATCCTTTTGGATATCTCCGTGGGGGTGTTTGAGATGCACCGGTTAAAGATGATCCACAGAGACATTAAAATTGAAAATGTGTTGATTGATGAACACCATAACTTCAAATTATGTGATTTTGGGTCCACCAGTGGACCTATGGCTCCGCCTAAGTCTCATCAGGAGTTCCAGGCTTTAAGCCATGATATTATGTATCAAACCACTCCACAATATCGATCTCCAGAGATGATTGATCTTTATAGAGGGTTCCCTATTGATGAAAAACTGGATATTTGGGCTTTAGGTTGCTTTCTTTATAAGTTATGTTACTACACTACTCCGTTTGAGGCTAATGGGGATATAGCTATCTTACATGCTAGCTTTCTGTTCCCTCCTCATCCTCAATACTCCCCCGATTTGAACAATTTGATCATTATTCTCCTTCAAGAGACCCCTATCTTAAGACCTAACATCGTTCAAGTGATTAAGCTTGTTTGTAAGATGATGAAGGTTGATTTCAGTACCATGGAAGTGGAAGATATCTATAAATTGGGTTCTTATAACTTTCAAGCGTTACATGAATACCAACAACAAAGGCAGAATGATATTATGAGACAACGAGCTCATTATCAAGGGCATTATGAGGATGGGAAAGATGGGAAAGAATTGGTTCCACAGGAATTGGTACAAAAAGAGTTGTCACAAAAAGAGTTGTCACAAAAAGAGTTGCCACAAAAAGGGTTGCCACAAACCCAATTACCACAAACCCAATTACCACAAACCCAATTACCACAAACTCATTTGTCACAAAAAGAATTGGTACAGAAAGAATTGGGACAGGATTCACCAACTCAAGATGATTCAGCTGACGATACCTTCGGTGAAATTGAGGATCTTGATGATGTCGAAGAAAGATATCCTTCCCTCGAAAACATAGTAGTTGAAGCAGACACTCCTACCACCGTTATCCCTACTGGAACATCAGAAAAGAAACAACCACCACAAATACCTCTTCAATATCCTGTTCAACCACCAGTTCTTCCACCTCAAGAGTTACAAAAATTATCTCCTGAACAACTTCAACAATATAATTATCAACATCAAGCTTATCATTATCAAATGAATCAATGGATTTATTACCAACAACATCAGTACCAAAGTAACCCTGTCGAACGTTCCAGCTCCTTCAGGGATAACCAAATGGAACGTACGACCTCAAATAACTTACAACAAAAGGAAGCTTGGGAATATAGTTCAAAGAAAGTTGATAATGATGCAGGTAAGTTGGCTGACGATATCTTTGCATCCAAATCAAGATCTCCTAGTGAAGTACAGAAACAAAAAACCGCTCAAAGTATCAAATCTGAACCAGCTTATGAAGATTTGGAAGTGAGAGAAGAGATTAGATTAACTAAGAGTAACAATGTTTCTGAAATTCAAGTTTCTAAACCAAAGGAAGATAGAGATGGTTTACCATCATCTGAATTAGAATTGAATCAAGTTGGGGAAGTTGAACAGAATCAACAGACACAAAAGGAATTGACACAAAAGGAATTGCCACAAACCCAAAATCCACAAAAAGACTTACCACAAAACCAAAAATCACAAAATCAAGAACCACAAAAGGAATTTCCACAAACTCAAAAACCACAAAAGGAATTGTCACAAACTCAAAAACCACAAATACAACAATTACCCCAAATACAACAATTACAGATGCAACATTCACAAAGTCATTTACCACAAAGTCAATTACCACAAACTCATTTACCTCAAAGTAATTCCCAAAATCATTTACCACAAATACAACAATCACAAAAACAAACTCAATTTCCACAAAGTAATTCCCAAAATCATTTACCTAAAATTCAAGCTCCTCAATCACAGAAACCCCTTGATATACCCACCTACAAATACAATCCGTTCCCTCGCGACGAACCTCGTGAACCAGAATCTCGTGGTGAACCCCGGGAACCTAGGGCTCAAGAAATTAAAAAATCAAGCACTAATCCTTGGGGTGAATACCGTAGTTCTTCAGTTAGTTTGAGTGCCAATACCACCGCCGGTAGAGCCAGCGATTCACATCATCAGAAATCATCTTCGGTGTCAGGAATCATGCCTGAAGCTTTACACAAAAAGATGAACTCCTTAACTATTGATGATTTCAAACTTGAATCCCCTTCAGCTTCTCGTAAAACTTCCTACGAAGAACCTAACCTAATAGATCTCGAAGTTGGTCTTGATTCATCTTCAAGTACTCCAGTATTAGCCACCATGAGTTCAGATTCATTGATTGATATTGATGAATCACTGGATAGGAAAGATAAACCCCATTTCAAGAAGAAAGTCTCAGCTATTCCGAATCCTGCTGAGTTCAAAGTTCAAGAAGAGGTGGTGGATTGGGAATCTGACGATGAGAATTCTAACTCCATGAATAGATTATCCATCAGAAACTCTTTAAAGAGTAGGAAATCATCCGAACCAAAAGGATCTGAAACCACATCCAGTGAAAAGAAACGATTATCTCGGTTGATTTCTAGTTAATAGATTTATATATACACTTTTTTCTGTTTGTGTCACTTGTGTTTGTGTCACTTGTGTTTGTGTCCTCTTTCTGTTTGTGGACCACCACAAACACAGAACGAAGGAGAAAAAACCCGCACACCCGTACACCCATACTTTACCTTCCCGCACTTAATGCTTACAAAATATCTCATCGCATCAATGTCTTCATTGAAGGAACTATTATCGTTACTCCTTCTATCTTCTCCTGTGAAGAACTTCCAGGGGTCTACTGATAGTACAAAATCGGTGTACAATCCGATTTTACAGATCGTTAAAGGGAGATCTAGTGAATTACTCAAAGGTAGTGAGTATGATGAGATCTTACATAGTAAAGAAGCTCAGGACATACTTTCCCAATACCCTTCAGCTGACTTATTTTCCGTGCTTAACTTATACATTGACCATATCAGACACCTGTTGAGTGAGAAATTCGGCGATGATGGCGAAGTACATTTCCATATTTTAGCCATAGCATTTTTCCAAACCTTCATTCAATTGAATTTCACTGGTCCTGGGATCGAATACGACCAAAGTTCATGGTTCACCACTGACAAGTCATTAGTACAATTGGAAGCTTTAAAATTGTTAACTTTACAAGGACAACTGCCTTATGGATTAATGGTTGATCCGATTTTTTTCATTATTTCCAGTATTATGTTTGAAAAGTTAATGAACATCGGTGAAGATTCATCCTTAGTTAGTGATAATGGAGTTTTAGAGGTTGAAAAGTTATTGAAGAAAGTTGAGAATTTTGTGTCAATTGCCACAAACATAAATGACACAAATACAAATGACACAAACACAAATGACACAAATACAAATAAAAATGCATTTGTGGCCAGTATTTGTTGGTGGAGATCAAGACTTTTACAAGTTCATTTATCATTATTTTCTGAACCTGTTAGTATCATAACTTCACTTTGTACCTTATTATTGGTTCCTGAAATGGTTAACCATCTTTGTGGATCTCAAGATAAAAATGTCGTGTTACAAAAAAACTTACAAATAATTTTCTACCTTGAAACTGCCAGATTCGGTATTCATTCCCAAACTGAACATTTAACTATCCCATTATTAGGTAAAGCTCGTACTATCTCCGACTTACAATTGGTGGTAACGGGTGCCAGAGCCAAAAGAACTAAGTATCAACAATTTTTCACTTCCAATATGATTGTGCTTGCTCAAAGTAAACCTGATCAGTTCTATGATAACAGTGGTGAAGGTCATATTGAAGATTTTGACCTTAATTCTGATGTTTTACTTGAAAGACCACATTTTGAATCCCTTGAAAATGTCGAAATACCTGATGAACCCAACACCAAAAGAATCAGATTTAATCCATCAATTGAAATTGAAGATGATGGTACAGAAAGGTTAATCCCCATCGCTATCAATAGTGACGACATTCCTGAAAATTTGAAACAATTGGATCCTAACAATCAACCACCATTGAATGATTTGGATAATATCCAATTACTATTGAGGTTAACCACATTAAGACAAACCTCCCCAGCACAAAATCCATTGGTTGAAGAAGAATTAATGGCATTAATAAGTAGAATTCTTTTTGTGGATAGTAAAAATGTCGCGGCCACAAATACAAATGTCACAAACCCAGAAACCACAAATACAATTAAACCCAATTGGTTGATTTTTTCTCGTAGTTTATGGGAAAGATCACTTTCAGAAACCACCAAAGCCAAAACCATCGAAAGAGGAATCCTTCAAATGACTTCTTTAATCGAAGAAATTGGTATTAAGATCAAATCAAGAATTATGCCTCAAGCTATGGAGGCTGATGGGGCTGATGGATCACATCCTTCAGCTTCCAGGTTAAGATTCATCCACCAAATGACCTTAATGCCACAATGGCTGATGGACACAAAGTTGGCGGAAAAATACATGTCAATTGGGGTTTTAAGGTCAGCTTTAGAGATTTATCAACGGTTGGAAATGTGGTGCGAGGTGGCGCTATGTTACGCCGCGGTGGATAACGAGGCTCAGGCGGAAAAAGTCCTTTTGGACAGAATTCAAAAACACCCCGAAGATGCTCGTGCCATCTCAATTCTTGGGGATTTAAGACAAGATCCTGTTTTGTGGCAGAAAGCTTGGGAAATAGGTCGATACTATCGTGCCAAAGCTTCATTATCCCAGTACTATTATTCACCTCCGCCAGTTTCAGGGTTATCACAAAACTTGAACTTGGCTATCCAACATATGAACGACTGTTTGAAGCAGAACCCTTTAAGTTACGAGAATTGGTTCTTCTACGGATGTTGTGGATTGGAGTCTGAACAGTACGAATTGGCCGCGGAGGCTTTCTCGCGATGTGTGGCCCTAGACGATACCAATTCGCACGCCTGGTCCAATTTAGCCACCGCCCTCTTAAAGTCCGGTAAGGTGCCAGCAGCTTTTAATGCCTTAAAGAAAGCTCTTCGTAGTGCTAGTGACAATAAGGGGTCGTGGAAAATCTATGAGAATTACCTTATCGTGGCAATGAAGCTCCATGAATGGAACGACGTGCTTATCGCTACCAGGGAACTCATTGGTCTTAAAGGTGATGGGGAGAGATCAATTGATATCCCCGCGATCGAAAAGCTTATAGAAATCTTGGTTGGGTCGGAGTACCCTAACGATGACGGCAGACTTACCCATTACCAAAAATCATGTATTGACTTGGTGTGTAATGTGTTACCTACGGTGATTACTACCGACTCGCGGTGCTGGAGAATGGTGGCGCGGGTGGAGCTTTGGAGGAAAAAACCCTGGGCCGCATTGGAATGCCACGAGAAAGCTTTTAGGGCGGTGTCGTCGCGACCAGAGCTCTCTACTAACGAGAGCATTTGGAACGAAGCTGTGGACGCTTGCAGTGATTTAGCGGCAGCTTATGAATCTTTAGGGGAGTTACCAGGGAAACACAATGCTGGGGATGTTGTGTGTCAAGATTGGAAGTATAAGGCCAGAACAAGTGTCAGATCATTGATGTCGAAAGGTAGAGATTCGTGGGAAGATAGCGAGGGATGGTATAAATTGAAGGATCTTAAGGATGAGTTTGCCAATTAGGCCCCTGTACGCAGAGTGGGTCCGTGAGACAGGGCCATTGTGACACAGAACTTTAGTTCAAATCATTGATTACTTCAATGGTTTCAAAATTTAACGAAGCTACCCTTACTTTTTTAGGCCGAGCTGGTGGTAGTAAAATACCGACATCCTCGCTAAGTCTACTACCATCGATCCCTAAAATAGCGAGCATGGTAGTAATCATCTCCGCGACGTAGCGAGCGATGGTGCGAACATTCTCCGATGTCTCCAATCTCATGGCCATGATAAGCAAGTACACCAACCCATGAAGATGTCCACGGATTAAGTATTCGCCCATATATATAGGAAATAACACAAATTCACTCATAGTACACAAAACCAATACTTTCTGTTCAACTATGGCGACATATGGACGTAAAATGGTGGCAGGTAAGGTGTCGCTAAAAAATTCCTCAATCATGGCAATGTACATGTTAAGGAGGGAATATGAAGCGAAGGGCACCACTTTGAAAGGATTGGGGGCCGAAGTTAAGGCCACCATCGCTAATGCCAAAAGGAAGGTATTATCTGACCGTAATAGGTCGGTGATGGGCATGGGATGGTCCTTTGTCCCTGTGAGGAGCCTATAGTGTCTGGTGGTAACGATAAGGTAAGTTAAGGTGGAAGCACAAATGGAAACCTCGTAGGAATGATCGTTCCATCGATGGTACCGGAGTATTTCACCTATAAGGAGAAATGTACTGGCGAAGGTTATCATATGACAAGCTAACCAGATCATTTGGAGGTTGATGGTGGTGAAGGTGACACAAATGAAGTTTACAAACATGAAAAACCGGGATTTTGACTCAATGAAAAACAGCTGGGCGTAAAGCCATGTGATGGATAGCCTGTAGTAGCGACGCAAGGTGGTGATAAGTAAGTGAAGTTCAGGGAAATAGCGAAGACTTAGTTGTGTTAAAGACATGGCTGCAAAAAGAAGACAGTGCGAGGGTGAGAAAAGGGCGAGAGAGTGCGACATTACGACGACATTCCAGAATCACCTCGACATTACGCCGACATTACGACGACATTCCAGAATCACCTCGACATTACGCCGACATTAGGACGACATTCACATGAATCCTTTCTTACCAACACCAACCATTGTCACGCCTCCAGTTAACCTGAACCCTCCATACCTCTTAACCAACCACTTCCATACCACAACAATGTCCTGACACGGTAAAACCCCCATCCAACCCAAACTGCCCCAATAATCTCATCAGGAGGTGATCCATACGCGTAGGTCCAAACCCTCATTCTCTACCACCAGGTCTCGCTGTAGAAATTCTCGCCATTTAGCCATACCCTCTCCCCCCCTACCTCAACACAGCCAACGCGAAAAATTCTCATCAACATGGAAGATAAATACATTGGGTTAGCTTTAGCTGTTTCATCATCGTTAGCTATTGGAACCTCCTTCATCATCACCAAGAAAGGTCTCATGGACACCTCCCGAAACGGTGGTGCCGTGGATGGCCATGAATACTTACAAAACCCCGTTTGGTGGGCAGGTATGATAACTATGGCTATTGGTGAGATTGCTAATTTTGCTGCTTATACCTTTGCTCCACCTATTTTAGTCACTCCCTTAGGTGCATTGTCAGTAATCATCGGTGCTGTGTTGGCAGCCATCTTTTTAAAGGAAGAATTGGGTACTTTAGGTAAAATGGGTTGTGCTATCTGTTTACTAGGCTCGGTAATCATTGTCCTTCATGCTCCCCCAGATAAGGAAGTAGAGACCGTCGATGAGATCTTAGGCTACGCTGCTCGTCCAGGATTCTTATTTTATTGTTTCGTGGTCACGTGCTACTCCCTATTCATGATCTATAAGATCGTACCACAATACGGCCATACCAATCCTATGATCTATATTTCCATCTGTTCATCCGTTGGGTCTATCTCCGTTATGTCCATCAAAGCATTCGGGATCGCATTAAAATTAACCTTAGGTGGGAATAATCAGTTCAGTCACGTGTCGACCTATCTTTTCATCATAGTGGTAGTTATCTGTATTTTGACCCAGATGAATTACTTCAACAAGGCTTTGGATCAGTTTGATACTTCCATAGTTAACCCCTTGTACTATGTTACTTTCACCACTTGTACTTTGGTGGCGTCATTCATACTATTCCGTGGATTTAACACCACTTCAGCTGTTAACATCATTTCCTTATTGATCGGATTCTTGATCATTTTTTCCGGAGTGTACTTATTGAACATTTCTCGTAAGGATAATGAAGGGAAGCAAAGAGAGTTGTTTGGTGTCCATACCGGGAAAGATTTAGGACCAATGGATGGAGGTGTTGGGGGATTCCAATCATTGAGAAGAAGTATGCAATTGACTAGAGAGGATGAAGAAACGGTGGGATTGAGAAGGTTTGATAGTTTTGAGTTGAGTGATGATGATCGTAGGTAATGTAGGTTACCAGGACTCTATACTATAGGTTATGTATAAGATATCTACGACTCTTTTTTCTAGTGTGGCGGCCAAGAGGGAACCCAGAAGGGTAGAAGGGCATCCAAGAGACACTGGAGACTACAGGTGTAGGGTTCAGAGAAGAAAGGTGAAAACTCGGAGATTACCTAATTGGGGCTATATCCGAAGCACTGGTCTAATCGGGTAATCTCCGAAATATGACTAATATGGCTGCCATCACTGGCCAAGTTTTGACAGTAGAGGTTAGAGATATTTGGGTAGTCCAACAGCTAGCTGTATGGTCCAACCACAAACATAAACAGCCAGAAAGGTCGCACCTCTCTCGCTATCGCTCGATAACTACTAGATAAATATATTAAATATCATCAATATCTAACTCATCTTCTTCTTCCTCTTCATCATCATCATCATTAGCTCCAAACTCAAAGTTAACATCATCATCTTCATCACCTCCAAATGTATCAGTTTCATTAATCTTAGCATTTTCTGGTAATTCACCATTATTCTTTAAAGCTCTAGCTTCATCAGAATTATATTTATGCACAACATCACACTGTTCATCTTGGAAATCTCTTAATGAAACCAAAATAATATCACCTTGTCCCATCCAAACTTTCTTTCTTAATTTTCCTCTAATGTGACCCATTCTTTTAATACCATCAAAACAACTGACTTCAATTCTACCATTACCTAACATTTTGGTGATTTGAGCATATTCTTGACCTTCTTCTTTGAAGATTAATTCTCTTTTGAAAGCTGAAGAATCGTTCTTCCCTCTTCTTCTGTTCTTTCCTCCTTTTCCTTTACCTGTCTTTCCCATTGCTTAGTGAAAATTTTTCACGAGTGCGCGACATCTAACTTATCATGGATTCCTTTGAAGCAAACACCCAGTTCAACCAATTACTTCGGAGTATCAACCCTTCAGTACAAAGCTTGAAGAAGACAGCTCACTTTGCTATTAAGAATTGGGAAAATGAAGATTATTTATTCCCTTCAATCTTAGATATCTTGAATGATATTCATGTGGAACTTAATACCAAATCCACCATATTCCAACTTATAGATGTTTTAATCAATGAATCCTTCACTATTTCTGCTCATAAGGACTCAGCTTATTCATATCCTTACATAAATAACTTAAAATCGGCTTTACCCCAGATTCTTTTGAAAGTGTTACCCGGACACAATAATTATAACTTATATAATGTGTTTAATAGTCTAAGAAACATCTCCAAGACGTTGAAAATCGATACTTCAGAGTATGAACAACAATGGAACTTAAGTTCCGAGATGTTACTGAAAGAAGAGATGGAAAATATTGATCTCAATTTACCTTACCCTGAAGTTGTTCTTGATGATGCTAGCTCTAATGACCCCGTAGTTCAAGCTTGGGAGTTACTTATAAAGAAGAGGAAACAAAGTTTCTATGATCGGTTGAGGTTACTTAAACACCAGCCTCCTAAAACGGAAGACTTAAGCGAGGACGAGATGTTTTATGTTAACACCAAGGAGCGTGCTCATAACCAATTGACCAAAAAGCAGATATTATTGAGAATGGAAGATGATCGAGAGACCCACAAGCGTAGTAAAGAGAGTTTATGGGTGGTAGAGAGACCTAAGAATTCTGTGGGGGTGACGGAGGAGGAGTTTATGGGATTTTACTGGAATAAATTTGATAAACTTAGTAAGGAGGATGAGAAGGCGTTGTTTGAGACGTTGGAGGGGTATAATGAGGTTGTGGCGGGGAGTTATAAGGATGTTCAGTAGATTCACTACCTATGACCGAAGGGAGTTACTACCTACGACCGAAGGGAGTCATTTTTCGACTAAAGGGAGTCATTCTTCGACCGAAGGGAGCCATTGACCAAAGGAACAACTACCTACGACCGAAGGGAGCCACCTACGACCAAAGGGATCACACCTACGACCAAACGCATTCCAACAAAAGCATCTTAGACCTCTGGTAGGAAATATACATTAATCTATCTAATCTAGTAATACGATTCTCTAAGTGGCTGCCATAGAAGAGGACAGAGGGTCAAATAAGGGGACAGAAGCTCAAAGACCTCAAGCTCATCTCCCTTTGGTCGATGAGCTCGTCGAAATCAAACTCAACAACTCATTTCTACCTGCCACTCCATACCTTGCCGACGTAGCCTTCGTCTCATTACTTATAGCTGCCACCGTCAACACATTAGCCACCACCTTATCATCAAACAACTCCTTAGCCAACTCATAACACGGTTCATCAATCAACGTTGCTCCTCCACTCAAAAACACTCCCGTAAGGTGCGACTTATCAAAGAACTTCTTCTCTTTTACTGGAGTGCTGGCCACTGAATCATTAACTTCCTTAGGTGTAAAATCACTTGATTGATGGTTATAATGATTAACCAAGAAGTTCAAAGCTCTAATACTCAATTGGTTCTGTTGAATAATCACCGTATTCCAAATCAATGATGCATGAACTCCTTCATTAGTACTGAATAACTCATTGACATGTTGAATCAAATCTCCCATTAAATCAATACTACGTTGTTTATCTTCGGTGAATGAAATCCCGGGGTTGAATATTATCGTACAATCTTCAATCTCCATCTTCGATCCGGGTAACCTCTCAACTTTAGCTTCCACTAAAGGTTTAACTTGAGAAATCCAAGTGGTGGATTCATTATCATCAACCAAGGATAACCAAGTCTTGGTACCAGGAAATTTAATATATCCCCCATTTTCAGCCACAAGGCCAAATTTCGGGAATCGTTTAAACATGGTATCCAAAGTAGATCTCTTCAAATATGATGATATAAACACAAAATTCTTATCGTCATTCAATAAAACATCATTCAAAAGATTATGTAATCGACTAGGAGGAATCATATCGGAGTTTTTCACCGAAGATGTAGTCGCGGAAGTGGCGGAAACATTAATTTTCCCGTCTCCGAAATGGGTCAAAGCTGAAGCTGTTTCCAAATTGAACACGAAAAGTTTCTTCCCATTATTACAATTGTTATAGAACTGTTTAAAGATTGAACTATCGAACTTCGTCACGTTCTGAGTATTTCTGGTATGATTGATGGCCCAGGCTTCGTTGATGGTGGATAAACAATTCTTAATCCAGAACTTATAATCTTGATTTACCACCACATCGTGACAGTTTCTCCAACGAAGTAATTTCTCATCGGGTTCCATAGTTAACAGGTGTTTGAACACTTCGGAGAAATGTTTCATATCCCAGGGGTTTATCAATAACGCTCCTTTACCGTTGATGTCGAGCATTTGTGATGAACCGGTGAATTCACTCAAAATCAATGGTGATTTCCTCTCGGTGGTAGCAATGATGAATTCATGACAAGTCAAATTTAAACCTTCTCTCATGGAAGATACCACAAACACCTCAGCTTCTGCTTGTAAGGCCAAATACTGGTCAAAGCCAATGTCTTGTTGAAGTAAAACTACCGGTAAGGAGTTGGATATATTCTCTGCTAAGGAATTGATCCGGGTAACGATGCTCATGATTTGGGAGAAATAATCATCGTTATTAATACCTCCAGTACAAATCTGAATCAATACGGTGTTATCCACAAACTCAGGGTTGGTCTTAAGGAATAATTCATAGGCTAAAAGTTTCTCTTTAATACCTCTTAATTTATCAAGCTTGTCACGTGACATGATCAATTTTTGATTATTCCAACGATGTCTGATTCTTTGTCTCCAGTCATTGACGTTATCTGAATCCACCACTCCTCCCAAAGCATTGGCATCAATCCCTACAGGGATACTGTTGACCATAGTAAACCTTCCATCATAGGTCAAACCGTATTCATTGGTATCGGTCAATAATAACCGAGAACACGTTTGTAAGAAATGTCTAACATACTCATCGGTTTGAAAAGATATGACGTTAGCTCCAAGCATTCCTTTAAGAAGAGCTTCACGTTGAGCCAAACAACGGAACACTTCTGATGATGGGAATGATACATGGAGGAATAACCCGATCTTCGCGTGAGGTAATTTCTCTCTAACCATTTGTGGCACTAACAATAAATGATAATCATGGATCCAAATGATATTTTCATCATCATCAGCATCACAGTCTTTATTCTCTTTAAGGTAAACTTCCACCAACTTATCGGCCATCAATTGGTTCAATGCCTTATAATGGCCCCAGGAATGGTCTTCAAAAGCTTTGGATTTAGGATTATCGGGGATTTCATAATGTAACGTTGGCCATAATAATTGCTTACAGAATGATTTGTAATGTCCGGCAAACACCGAATCACTAGGAAATACTGGTTCACTATAATAATCCTCACTTAAAGTTTTGGAGATATCGTTGATAACTCTTTGTGGAACCTCATCAGTAGGCATAGCTAAAGTTCCCACCCATTTCCTCTTCCTAATCATATCATTTTCAGCCGCTGTCTTGACGGCTTTAATCAATGATCCATTACCTGTGGCTGCAAATAATACCTTCCATGGACTGGTTTCAAAGATATTGGACTGAGAAAGGATTCCACTTTCAAGTTTAGGGTTGGAGAACCCTCCAAATGGGGCCAATTTCACCGTACGAGGATTTATCATATCATTAAAGTCATTATCCCAGTCATTAGTATCACTATCATAAGCATCCATGGGTTCTTCTTCAGTTATAGGGTCTATTAACGATTGGGAACTGTTGTTACTCAAAGACATCAACCCACCGGATCGATTTAATGAAGCCAAAGCTCTTGAATTCACCGGAGTTGGAGCAAATGACGATAAATTTACGTCCGATCGGGAGATTTTTAATGCCGGTAACCCGAGATCATCATTAACTTTCTTTAAGTCGACCACAGAACCATCCTTGACGTTGATTTTGGACTTGGGTTGGATATATTGTGGTAGAAGCTTCTCCTTAAGGTTCTCAGCAAAGATCTCTCCCACTTCTTTATTATTCTCTTCGTCAATTCTCTTGAGGAAGAAATCTTCCACTGATTGGCCCCCTTCATGGGCCGACGACCGTCTTCTGAATTCATGGGGTTTGGGGGTGGATGTAGGTGATTGTTGATGAGAATTAGCAATGCTCAATGATGGCAAGATTGAGCTTTGTCTGATGGGCATAGGTCTGACCCCCGTACCACTGGACCTCTTACGAAGATGTGATTGTGGTGGAACTGCTTCGTCCACAGGGATGGAATCCTGGGGCCCAACTTCAAATTGTACAGTATAGGGTAAAAACCTGGGTAGTTAGTATGAGGTTGATTTTAGCGGTTGAAAACGAGGGTTTTCCATGGGGAAAAGTGTCAATGGTGAATTTATGGGATTGAATTGTTGGGTAGTGCCGTTAAAACCAGGTTTCTAGGTGATATACATACAAAGATCCAATGATTACTGTCATTGCTAAAATTTTGAGTGTTAAAGTGCGCAGATGTTTTTGATAGCCGCAGGTGGTACCGCACTTCCACCGAAGCAATTAGTACTGAACATTTCCCCCCGCGCTAAACGGTTTAGCTGGCACCATCTGGCGGTACCTTTGGTTGAATGCGATTTTTAGCAATAACATTCCATGCGACACGTTGCGACATTAGGTGACATTATCTTAACCCTATTGAGACATGTTGCGACATTGTGTGACATTTCTCATTTTCTCCGACATGAAACGACATTATGTGACATTTTACATGGATTACCATTATCTTCTAAAGAACATCCACGATACCCACTGTCATCTCAGTATTGATGTCACCCAGCAAGATGTGGATGAACTACAAGTACATTGGGATAAGTTGGAGTTGAATGCCGGTTTTTTCCGGCTTATGTCGACGAATCACATCGATCTAGAGTTTGTTAGCCAATTGGCTGGTAAGCAGTATATCTTCCCATACTATGGGATCCATCCGTGGTTTAGTCATTTGTTTGGGTTTGGTGGTGATAAGAAGAGTCATTACCACGATGTGTTAGTTCCCCCACCGTCGCCCGAGCTTTTGGCGGTATTACCAGAACCAATAGATGTTAGAGAGTATATGAAGAAGGTTAGAAAATTGGCACAGGGCAACCATACTCCCAATGACACAAGCCCTACTACCCCCAGTACGGTGCTTAGTACAGCAGATACCAATGACGCTACCACCCACACAGCAGGTATAGGAGAAATCGGACTTGATAAACTTTTCAAAATCCCCAACAATGGGTTCCTAGGCCAAGGTCCCAGTACCGGCCTATCTCCCAGCAGAACCTCCATGGCCCACCAGGAAGCTATCTTCCGTATCCAGCTATCGCTCGCCCAAGAACTTCAACTTCCAGTATCCATCCATTGTGTCAAAGCCCATGGTGCGGTGTTCGATATCATGAAAGACTACGACCTCCCAAAGATCATCCTCCATTCTTTCAGTGGGTCCCGCGATCAGGCCAAGCTATGGATCAAAACTTTCAGCCAAGTATACTTCTCCTTCTCTCACTACATCAATGGAAGCAAGGACCTTGAAGGACTTTTGGAAGTTGTGGGTGATAAGTTCTTGATCGAGACCGACGTGTCGATAAATAAGCCGGGCTACGAGCAACAGCTACAGGGGATATTTGGGGATATTAAGGAAGGAGGATATAGTGAGGAAGAGATTATTAGCATCGTCCAGAGAAATGCCAGTTAAGGGTGCTGGGAGTGCCAGAACTACTGACTGGGTGCTAAGGAGTTAGAACTACTGGATGAGTAGCAAAGAGTTAGAACTACTGGATGAGTAGCAAAGAGTTAGAACTACTGGATAAGTAGTCTCAGGGTCAAGCAAACAGTTCCAGAGTCAAAAGTCACGTGACAGAGTCGATATACATAACACGCCTATAATCTAGATCTGATAATATCAACGAATTCTGGTTTTAATGAAGCACCACCAACCAAGAATCCATCAACATCAACTTTATCCTTGAATTCAGGAGCATTCTTACCATTAACTGAACCACCGTATAAGATTTGAACAGTTTCAGATTGTTCACCAATGGTTTTAGCTAAGTGAGCTCTAATACCTTTATGGGTTTCTTGAGCATCTTCAGGAGTAGCAGCTAATCCAGTACCAATGGCCCAAACAGGTTCATAAGCAACAACGATTTTAGACCAATCAGAAATGATCTTGGAAACAGCATCTAATTGTCTAGCACAAACATCTAAAGTAATACCGGCTTTTCTTTCTTCTAAAGTTTCACCAATACATAAAATAACTGATAAACCTTGTTCAATGGCGAATTTAGTCTTTTCAGCAATGAATTCATCAGATTCTTTGATTAAAGTTCTTCTTTCTGAATGACCAGTTAAAGTCCAAGTGGCACCTAAATCTAAAACTTGATTGGCTGAGATTTCTCCAGTATAAGCACCTGAAGCTTTGTCGTAAACATTTTGAGCAGAAATAGCAACAGTTGATTGTTTGTTAACTTCAACAGCTAAACCGAGATAAGGAGCTGGAGGAGCAATAACAACTTGAACATTTGAAGGTAAATCAGCAGAATTTAAACCTTCGATGATTTTAGTTACGGAATCTTTGGTACCGTTCATTTTAAAGTTACCACCAACGAAGAATTGTCTAGCCATGGTGAAGTGAATTGATTTGAGTTGGAAAGTTGGAGGTGCGAAATCTGCGCTTAAAAGGTCCACCATCTTCCGACGTCATGTGATTCCATTGATCCGGCGTCATGTGATTCCGTTAATCCGTACATTTGAGAGGTGATGACAAGAGGGTGAAAATCCAAGGAGAGATGGCATGGTGATGACCTGGTGATGGAGTAGTAGGTGGAGAATGACATTATGAAGGTATTGTGTTATTGGAGATGATAAAGGTAGATACAGAAACAGAAACATCGGTACACCAGGCCATCGGACCACTTTCCTCACACCACCAAGGTTAAGGGTTTGAAGCTTTTTAGGAGAATCTCCTAAGGGTGTTCAAAAGTAAGGATTTTCCTAAGAGCATAGACTTCCTTATAACTTCCTAGGAGACCTGAGCCCCCTAAGAGAATATATCTCCTCAAGAGCACAGACCTCCCTGAGAGTAACCTCCTCAGAACCAAATCCCCTGAGAGAATAGGCCTCCCTTTGGCACATCTCTAAAAAACCCTTCTCATCCAAACTGTATATTAATCTAATCTATTTACCCAAAGACTCACTACTATTGATCTGACTCTGATTTCCATACTCAAACTTATCTCCTTTCACCTTCTCAAAAGCTTTCTTGATCAAAGAATCCTTCTTCGTGTTCTTAATAGCCTTTTTCTGTGCTTGGATAATACTTTGAATATCCAAATCATTCAAATTCGATTTCAATTGGAAAGCGGAGTTAAAATTTATCTCATCCCTTATCTCCTTATCAATATCCTTATTATTCTCAATCTCATCATCATCAAAATCGTCCCAAGTTTTTAAGGGAGTCTTTAACGTATACTGCTTATCATCACGTTTCATGATAAGGAAATGACAATGAGGAATATTTCTAAGGGTCTCAAATTCTTCATAAGTCCATCGAAACCATTTCATAAGAAATACCCTGGCCCATATACCATGAGTTACTAATACTAAGATATTAGGGAAGTCAGGATTTTGAAATTGTCGGAATAAACTCTCATTAAAACTTGAAATTCTATCGTACACATCGGCTGCACTTTCCCCATGGGGAATTCTGAAGAAGAAATGTCCATAGTGGGCTCTCTCTTCCCAAATCTTTTCCATTTCCTCCGTAGTACTTTGAAAGTTCCCAAAATCTTGTTCTCTCATTCGAGGTTCTTCCTTAACGCTATACTCAACCCCATCAACATCTTTGATCCCATCAATAATATTGTCACATGTTTGACGAGCTCGTTTATATGGCGATGTGTAAAAAAGGATCGATTGTTTCTTTTGGCCTTTGCTACATTGAAGAATATCTTGGTTAAGGAATTGTCTTAGAACTTTCCCAGCATCTTGAGCTTGTTTATGACCAGTGGATGTTAAAGGGATGAGATGGTTGGCTGTGACGGAGTTGACGGTTTTATCGAGATTTCCTTCAGACTCTCCATGTCTGACAAGTAAAATGTACTGAATTGGTTAGTATGACAGGAATGAATGGGTGATGATTTAATACATACTTTTGGTTTGCCCATGATTTTATCTTATCGCGAACATTTCTTAAATAGCGAGTCACGTGACAAATTTCACGCTATTAGTCATGTGAGTTAAATGGTTAATGATAGTTTTCAAAGTCTTTTGACTGTTGAACTCCAACTAACAATACGTGCTTCCACCCCATTTATCATTTGAAACTTCAAAACTTTACGAGACAATTTGTATGATTGTCTGTTTGTTCCAGGAACTTGAATACATTGCTAGAATAAGAGATACAGAAATAAGGCTATAAATAAGGGTCAAAACACAGAATTAAGGGAACTACTTACGCAAGGGAAAATCTTACAAAGAAAGGAAAAGCTTACAAAGAAGGGCACAACTCAATTCACGCCTCAATCAAAAAATCATCCATTTCAATCCAAATCAAATTTCTTCAATTTAACCAACATACTCTATGGCTTACGATACTTCGTACCTTTAATACCTTTGTTCCAACACGGACTATCCCCTTCATTTTCCTAATTTCTGCGCCTTAGAGTTTGGAGTACCAACGAATCGTTAGACAGGTATGTTCATGCAAGTTCATGCACTTCGTAAATATTTACGACCTTAGAAATTATTTTTTTTTCTTTGTTCTTCGTTTGTGGTATAAGAAAAAAAATACATCCACAAGAATATTTCTTGTTTTTATTGTGGAATGATGGAAAGTTTTCAACAGTCTATAAAAGAATCTATATTGAATGCTGATAGCTTGACCATTAGACAAGGTAGGTTCGCTCCAAATGAAAGAGGTGAATTTGTTCGGTTACTGGAGGACGAAAGAACATCTATCGAGGAAGTGAATAAACTCATGAATTGGAAGGGATCTTATAGAGTCTATTTTTCAATACCATATGAACTACTAGTCATTCCCAGGAGTAACTTCACCCCCACTACACCAGGTGGTTCACAACCAAGAGCTAGCTCTCAAGCACTGTCTGGATCATCACCTCTGGGATCCCTGAGTCAGTTTCTTGAATATTTGAATAAGTTTACACCCTTATGGACAAGAAAAATTGAAGATCTTTGGCTTGACTCGAAGTTTAGACAGCTTGATAAGAAATACGAAGATATTTGGTCACATCCACCTCCTCGTATTGAAGGTGAGCTGGATGATGCTTATTTGAGGAAATGTAAAACTATATCCATTGTGAAGAA